TTAATGCATGAATTGATTCCATACTCCGCTCAAATGCAGTGGCAACATATCCTGAGTATGCAGGGTAGGAACAAGTTAAGGTTACACTTAACAACAACTTACAGTATTAGAAAATGATTAACGCAGGCTTCCATGCGGAATGTGATGGAAACATATTTGGGAATTTACTTTGAACTTTGCCATTTAAATATATTATTTGAATTAATTTGTGTTTCAATATGTTCTGTTATTCTTGTTTTAACATGGAACTCTTAAGTGTAAACTTTCTCTTGGCCCACCATGTATAGCTTATCATTTTCTCACAGACGTTGCTGATTGGCAGTGCATTTTGCAGACATTCCCAAAGGCAACATCGTCTGTCACTACCATAATTGCAGGGGAAATTTTCATTTCCAAAAAGTCAAAACTGATAGGGGAACAAAAAGCCACAGTCAGCCACTCGAGATAAGATGCTACTAAAGGGAAGCTCTCTGAGTTATTGTGCGTGATTCTGAGATACAGTCAGAATGACCCCATCTTATGAGGTCCAATTAAGACGAGATCTGTTACTGCCCCGACTGAGAATCAGCAATTTTAAAAACATTGTATGATGGTGATGACGACAAAATGGTGAATGTAAAATGTCAATAATCTAGGTTCGACACTCTTCTAGATGCAGGGTGTCTCATAAGTCACTATGCCCTATCAATAAAATCACATATATTCAACAGTTCACAAAAAAGAAGTAACTACTAAGTAATAGACATGTCATTTGGAATTATATTTCTCAAAAAGAGAGATATTTATCCGTTTAGAAAGTGCCTCGAAATCCCCTTTGCCATACTTTTGGCATGTGGTTCGACGTTTAAAATATCGTCGAAACGCTCCTGTAACTCTGACGGGAGACCTGAAGATATGAAGCAATATTGCAACCTTTGATATTCCAGCGTCTATTGCAAAGCCTTTTCTCATGACAGAAAAAGCAAATTGAATGAAGTGTTTTCGTGTTCCCTAAGTCTTCCCGAAATTAAATGAGAAAAAACTAAGTTTTGCGAATTTGTAGAAAAGGATTCAACAAGGTGTACGAAAATTGTCTCTAAAGCAGTACATCTTTCGAATGTGGATTTAAAGGTAGTTCCATTTGCGTCTGATTAAAAGTCACTATCATGAAAAATATTCTTAAATACATTTAATCAATATTAACGAAAGTGACCTGCTTGCTGCAATTTGGAAATATTGCATTTTAGAATTGTATAGTGACTCTTAGGACATACTGTATGCCACTTTGAGGTTTGGGAGGGACAGATAAAGTGACGCCCAGCAAAAATGAATTTATTAAACCATTCAAGCTAGAGGGGTGGCTCAGAGTTCATTTCAAAATGCAAAGCCAGAAAATCTAAACTTAATCCCTGAGTTTTTCTGAGTCTCAATTCAAAAGAAAATATTGGATTCCGTGTCATACGGTTTCAAGCAATTCCTCGTTTCTTCACGCATCATTATTTCTTAGCTCAATCTAACTTGCACAAAGGAAAACGAAAAGGCCGAGAGTAGAACTTCAGAAATTACTCACTCTTCAAAAAATGCATAGTCCCAAAGCACCCATATTTCACGGTATGTAGATATATGCTGTAGATATAGCCGCCGCATTGTTAATACATGCATAATATCGCCATATTGTGAACCTATCATGAGAGGAGATTAACCATGTTATGCCTTTTATCGCTTCCCACGATGAAACTGTTGGCCTTTGATAGAGTATTTCAATGGAGTATTTCCTGAAGTATTCACCTGCGTGAATGACTACATTGTGATTCGAAGTCACCCTGACCCGTTAGATGCGGAAAACCCCGGCACTAGAAGTTGACCGATTTCGACATATAATGTGTATCGAACCTACGAAATCGAACCTGTAGAATCGAATAATCACCTAACCTTGTAACCACTCACATTCTCGAAAATATATCATAGCCAGCTTAGTATGGAAGATAAAGTCAATAATAATGCTTTAAAAGTAAGTATTGAACCTCCATGTCAAGTATCAGCTGGATCCAACTGTCCCTTGAAAAGTTAAAGTTGAAAATTCATTGAATTCTGAGACAGTCGAGCACAGGTAATCACCTCATTTGAGGTGGAATGATCCACCTCTAAGCACCTTTAATTCACCTCTAAGTGGGCATTGCACGACTTAGTCAGGGGTGCTGAAAAAACAGCTTGTAATTGTCAACCATCGATCGCATATCCAATGCAATTTTTTCGCTACTCATAAAACTTTGTTTATCCCATAGAAAGCGGTACAGCGTTTCTTTTAACCACCCTATATAGGGTGTTAAGTTGTGACCCATCGCAATATGCCGATAACCTCAGCAAAAACCAAAATCAATAATTTTTTATGTACAATAACAAGGTCACTCAACTGATTTAGAATCGCATAAGAGTTTTCATTATATCCGCCCTTGGCACGGATGACAAGGTTCAGACGACCCTTGAAAGCATCGACTGATTTTCGAAAGTCTTCCTGTATAATTTTCGCGCCCATTCTCGGTTGAGGGGTATCTTGGGAGAATCCAAAGAACGGTGTTTTGTACCAAACACTTTGCTCTCACAGATGGGCAAAATTGAAAAATTTTAATCTGAAAATTTTCAAGCCACTCGGCGTCAAGGGGCGGCTTTTGTATTGGTCTGGGTCGGGATTACCGCTTCTGGAGGAACTCCGCTCGTTTTCGTACCGAACACCAACTCTGAAGTATACTGGAAAAGCATGCTGGAAGACTGGCTGGTTCCGGTGGCCAGGAATCATTTCAATGGTGGCAACTGGGTCTTCCAGCAGGACTCAGCGCCAGCTCACAAGGCGTAGATGACTCAGGAGTGGGTGCGGACAAATGTCCCCGACTTCATTCCGACTTCACAATAGCTTCCTTACTCCCCCGATGTCAACCCCTTAGATTTTTCAAATTGCTCCATCTTGAAGAGCAAAGTGTGTGCTTCAATCCACCGTTCTTTTGGATTCTTTGAAGCTATCGCTGAACCGAGAATGGGAGCGAATTCCACAGGAAGACATGCGAAAATCAGTCGATGCATGGGTCATTGAACCTTGCCATCCGTGCCAAGGGCGGCTATATTGAAAATTATTAAGTGATTATAAATCGGTTAAGTGTCATTGTTATTGTACATATTTTTTTCCTTTATATTAGCTTTTTAGCTGAGATTATAGGTATATTGCAATGGGACACAACTTTTTTAACACCCTGTATATAGAAAGAATTACAAATAGGTTCACCTGGCAGGTTTTTGAAGCATTGTCAAACATAATTTAAAATACTTTTGAACAAGCCTCGAGGGGCGTAAAATACATCCCAAAAGTGAGCTAGTGACAAGGTTTTTCTTGTGCAGTATTTTTTAGTAAAGTTTTTTAAATTTTTATATTTCCCTAATATGTCATTTTTCTATGATTGAGACTCAAAACGTCATGGATTATGTTTTATTGCTCTAAAATGAGCTTAATAGCTGGAATAGCGTGCAATATGTATTCATGGGAGCTGTCATGTTACATGTCCTTGGTAAACTTCTAAGGGGAAAATCTCTAATTATGTTGAACCTGGACTGGTGTCAATATCCATTAACCATTTTTTTACCACTACCAACCAAATAATATTTTGTTATACAAATGGATCCCAGTTTGAACCACCTTTGAACCACCTGACCATGGAACGACTCCCCAGTATGCGTAAGATGAGCAATGTTAATACTATTGCGTATTTCGTGGTAATTTGCGCAATTAAGTATTAATGTACTTTATCATACATACTTTACTATTAGTATGGAACAGTATGACAAAGTCGAAACAGATGACATGATTCCTTTGTATGCCTGTTGAAATACTGCCATTGAGGATTCAATATTTTCCGTTGTCCTTGTATACAGGGTGGACCAGAAATAAGGAGACACTCTTCAACTCCTAGAAAACGTGTATTGAAAAACAATGAAATTACACAAGAACACATTTTCTGACGTATTTATAGCCTTAAAACTTTTCACAAAAACTGCTCAACGTGTTCACTGTTCAAATATTGCACAACAGCAGTCTTACTGGTAGTGATAGCAAACCTGCTGCCATAACTCCACTGGCAAGCTTCGCTTAGTGGAAATGATCGTATCTTCGAGCGCTTGAAGAGTCCGAGCTTTCGTCGCATGCATTGTATCTTTGAACCCCATGAAAAAGGAGTCAGCTGGAGTGAAACCCAGAGACCTTGCTGACCAAATCAATCGGTCCATGCCGCCTGATCCTCTAACCGTAAATCGATCGGTCCATTCCATTTGAAGAAGTCACGAATGTAGTGAGAGTAATAGGTTGGAGAACCATCTTGAATGAAAAGTGTAGAATGTTATCTTGGAAAGCTGAATGAAGACATCATTTCTGCCAGGCATATCAAATGAATTGAGAATATCTTCTTCAGGCAGGATGCTGCTATGGCTCATTATAATAAGCGCTTTTGCAACTTCTTTGGCAAAGTTTCGTGGTCGTTGGATCGGGCGGCATATCCCGATTGATTGACGAGCATTGTGTCTAAGCTTGACTCCGACTGACTACTTCTAATGAGGTTCAGTCAAAGACATTGCATGCGACGAAACCTCGCACTCTTTCAGCAGTAAAGGACACTATCGTCTCTACAAAGCGGAGCCTGCCAGTGGAGTTATGCCAGCGAGTTTGCTTATCACCACAAGTAACAAGAACCACCACAGGTATATGCAGTTGCGCAAAGACTTGAACAGTGGACAGGTTGAGGAGTTTTGTGAAAAGCTTTATAGTCATAAATGTTTCATAAAAATGTGCTTTCGTAGGCATCACTGCCAAGTTCCATTGCTTTTAAATAAAAGTTTTCAGGAGTTCAAACGTATCCCCTTACTTCTGGCCCACCATGTAGTATTTCACCATGAGGTATGTTGCTTCCATGCAGGTATCCTCCGCAACAATTGGAGAGTTAGCGATGTTGAATATACTTCTTCTCAAGAATACTATTATTCCCTTTCCATCATCTTGTGGCTAACACGAGGTACTCGGGCTTATGGGCGATAATGTTAAAAAATTAGCTCGCCTGAAGATCCTCCTCAAACGTCATATGATCAACATCGACGCATTGCTTGATTCATTAACAGTGTGTGGCCTAATTACATTGCAAGAAGAACGGGAAGTGAGAACGATTGGAAAGAAAACTGATCAGATCAACAAACTTATCTTCATCCTCAGTGAAAGTAACCTCCAGTCAAACTTCGATAAACTTGTCGAGATTCTAAAGGAAATAGGAAGAAGTGATATCACAGAAGAACTTGAAAATGACTCCAACGCACCGAAAGATCCTGGCGGCGGTCCCACGGAAAACACTAGGAATGATAGCATAATTCATCAAATATCCTGTGAGTCAAAGGCAAAGTCAAATGTCTAAAATGTTAAAATATATATTGGTAATATACTTTCCATTTTATTCCTATAGCAGAGACATGTGAGCAAACGGAACCACTATGTGAAATCATTCAAGAGTATTGGGATCAAATGATCTCCTGCTTGAATGTTCAAGGGGTCTTTACGCATCTCGTGAAGTCTGGAGTGCTTCAAAACCGGGATGAGAAAGAAATCAATACCCCTCAGAAGGAGGAGGAGAAGAGAGTAATTCTTCTGATGAAAATACTGACAAAAATTGATTTCAGCAAATTTGAAAAGTTCCTAGAGGCACTAGCAGCTTCTGGGCAAAAAGATTTGTCAGAACTGCTTTCGTTACAATGTGAGCGATTCTATGGCGATTATTTTTTTTCCATTGGAATATTGCCATTTGCACTCATCATTTCCTTTCGTGAAAAAAATATAGCGAGGAGGCGACAACCTGATCCCTCAAGCGTCCTTGGGAGCGGGTAAGTGACCACGCTAATCCCTACTAACTTCGACATTGAAATCTGCATTGATTTCGCCACGTGAAACTTCCATTAGTAGGTTTCTTAACAAAAAAAGTCGGGTCAAGCTTAATGCATCGGATCTCTTCCGAAATATTGGGAATGGAACAAATGGGAGTGTAAAGGTGAAATGGGTCTATCTGCAAAAAATACTTTCCTCGACTTCCACACGGAAATTCCTGGGACAGTCATGTTAAAAGTGAGGAAAAGTGGTATGCATTGATAGATCCGTTTATCGTTAACCTACTCCAACAAACTATTATATTCTTTGAAAGGAAGAAGATTCTATGGGCACAAAACCAACGATACATTTTTGGAAATTTTTTGCAGAAAGACCACTTTACCTTTGAGACCTTCAAGTAACGTCAGTCACTCACGATCATCTATATATATTAGACGCCGCCTACGTTGAGACACATTTCCCATCGTGTCACAAGCTGTGAAAAAGTGTCCTCGTAGAACGTATTTGACAGTTGCTGCAGAATGTCCCTGACTTCTTCCCTCACTTAGTCTTCCGAGCAGAAACGCTTGCCCTTCTAATCCCGTTTCAGCACCCCAAAAGATCTGGAAATCCCAGGGCGAGAAATTGGGACTATATGGTGGATGCTATAACGTCTCCCAGCTGAATGCGCGCAGCGTGTCTATTATGGTCCTCTGCGCTGTGTGCGCCCCAGCATTGTCATGGAAATGGATGATTCCATCGGTCAGGAGGCCCGAACGCTTCTTCTCTATCGCGCTTAGCAAACGGGTCAGTGTCTGGCAGTAACTTTCGGCGTTGATTGTCTGTACATCTTCCAAGAACTCAATAAGCAATGTATACTAGTAAGTAAAATTAACATTTTATCAACACCTTTCCCGTTATAGGCGGTGGAGACGATAGATGTTTCCACTACATTCTCTGTTCCACCAATGTTCCAATGGACACACCCATGCATCAATTGCCATGAACACGCGACTCACATTCGGCTGAGACGTTCTGGATCATCAACCATATACTGTATCTCCGATTTCTCGCTCTGCGATTTCTAGACCATAAGGGCACTGGAACGGGACCCGCAAGCGTCTCTGCTAGGACGACGAGGTGAGAGAAGCAGTCAACATCTTTCTGCAACAGCTGCCACAGCTGGTACGAGGACACCTTTAAACAGCTTGTGACACAATGGGAAAGTGCCTCAACGCCGGCGGAGCGCATTTGACGATATTAATCACGGTTTGTATCCAGAGCTCCATGGCTCGCCTACATTTCATCACCCCCCGTGCTTCAACATATTCATCAGAGAACCACATTTCACCCCCCTCGGTTGAGTATTGTCTGATGTCAGGTGTTGGTGAACCATAGCTCTACATACCATGGAATTCTGGCAGTTTTGCTTTTATAAATATGTTATTATCGAGAAATACCAATGCATGCGTTGCTTCAATTCCTTAAATGCGAAGGAATTTTCGCTTTTAAGAAATAGACGCGATTGACCGGGAATAAATACCTTCTGCAGATGTTCCATTCGCCCGTTGAACGACATCGTTGATGGCAATTGTTCCGAGCCGCTGGCCATCTGCAGCAGCCAGCACCTGTATGATGGTGATCATGGTGTCATTTCTCATGAGGAGTCTGAACAGAATTCAGAATATCATGAGCATGCTGATAATCACGTAAGTATGAATGACCTTCAGAATTCATGGCTAAATAAGTATTTATTTAGAATGCTGGTGTACCATGTGGATGCATCGCTACCGATGATAATTACGATGCAACTTCACGAACAAATTCCGTTTACAATTGTAAATCAAGGTCCAAAACATATTTTCGTACAATTAAGAGCAATATGTGAGGATCTGCAATTGAAAATGATCCGATTTGATAGCAACATTAATCGACTAATCGCTGATTTCAACGCATATTTCCTTGCAAGAGTGGAAGGTCATGCCTCTTGATTCAATGAATATTGGAATACTTAATTTATAGGATCAACTTAGACGAAACCTGTATGCCATCGTATCCAAAGCCCTTCCGCAGCAGGATCCGAAGATACTCAAGGATCTTATTCGTCATCTTATGGATGAAGAAGGTGTAAGTGCTGTAGAAAATCTCCCACATGTGGAACTGCAGACACTCACTCGATTCTTGAAGACTGTTCCAGCGAAAATTCTCCACAAAGCCTTCCAAGACCCAATTGCAGGTGAAATGCAGCGATACGAGTCATGAACATAACATTCAATTTATTATAACACACTTCTACTGCACCAGTCGTCCTTGTGAACAAAATCACTGGTCAGTCTGTCTTTCTAATGGCTGCTCCTGCCATGTAATGAATCACGAGTCTTTCCTCCTTCCTTTTCCTGCCTTACAATATCATGCGACATGTCTTCGAAAACTATGCACATATAGTGTCCTGATGTGTTCATGATCTCCATTCAAGGTGGTGAGAAGCTAGCAGAAGTTCATGGGAAATTTCAGCATGAAGCAAATTCTATGAAGGGAATCATCAAATACATTCAAAACCAGCTTGCAGCAAAAAAGACCTTAGGCAAACAGGAACATAAACGTGTTGTTCATGACGTGGCAAACATTATCATGGAAACCCATCCTGAGATAGAGTCGAGGAAATCCAAAGTACAAAAAGCGGCAAAAGAAATTGCCGCCGAATTTCCTCTTCAATTCGGAGATGCTTCGACACAAGGGAGATGTTGCAGCATATTCGCAAAGAAAATTGAGACCCGCATTACATATCTTAAAAGGTGAAAATCTTTATGTTTTCGACTCACAAAAGTCATTCCCAGGATACTCTGAAACATAAATTATTAAAATACTTCCCGTGGAGGCCTTTGTAACCTTCGTTAAGATTGGAGTAAATATGCTGAAAATACAATATTTGATCACTTAGGCCGGATTAGCAACTGTGTTGACTTCGACACGCCCTTTTTGCTTGAATAAATTCATTGATGTCGTTCACGACTTGATGAATTGCTAGCTTGCAATTTTCAGCACCAGCACTCTTCTAACAGAATAACACAACTTTTAGAAATATTCCTCGTTTTCAGACGTAGTAGCGGATTTGAAGAGTTTCCTCTTCTCTTCAGAGGGAATACCTGGGGCTAAGTAGAATGTTTATTTTCTCTGATTTTGCCTTCATAAAATAATGAATTCTTACCTATTTTAAAGCGCTCATAATTGCGTATATCTCCCCTTCCGGATAATCAAAGCTAATGGGTCATTCCACTTTAAGTGGTCCAATTTGCAAGGAGATGTTTGCATTAGCGACTGCGATATTCATTTTTTTAATTGTATTAACTGCGGGTTATGGAATATTGATGAATGCAACATTCCAGTAGGCTAGGTCCTACGTCCTTCAAGAATGCCCCATTGACGTTTTGCAGGAAAATGTGAAAGGCCTCTCAACCAAATTCAGCATCTCCATGACCACAGAAGCAAGAAATATGTGTAATAGCTTTTTTATAATTTTAATAAACATGAGTTTTTTTTCGGAAATGTTCCATGTAAACGCATAAGAAACTCACAGGGAATGCTTGTAACTAAGCCATTTTGAGGGTATACCTAATGCTTCATGAGGCCTGTCCAAATGTACAAGATAACGCAAAACTTGCGCACCACAGGTAAATGAGAGTATGCGCTTGAATTGTTGGCAATTAACTTGGAAACACATTTCGATTCATTGCATATAACATGTTCCAGCATTTCTTAACACACTGACGCTGATATTGACATATTCGGATCCTATTTTCTCCTTCAATATTTGTTTCTGGACGGTTCAACGCAAACGACCGACGTAAGATGCCCTCACAGCGAGAACTCTAAAGGTGTGAGGTCCGATGACCTTGGTGACCACTTGACGGGACCTCGTCGTCCAATCCTCTTGTTTGCGAACGACTTGTCACGAACGATGATAAAAAGTGGGGCGGAAAATGGCGATGCGCTGTGATGTTGCACAGTGCAACTCCATTTTTCCGCTGCTGGTCATGGACACTTTCCATTTATTTCAACCGATTGATTGTATTTTCCAATGGTTGCCCGATACATTGCTACTTCTGAGTGTTGTTTTATTAAGTCTGGAAGCGATTGAACGATTATAACTGCCTGGCCCTCCACACATTAAAACAACTACATCCAATCTTATTTGGTTAATTTTGCAGTTATCTCTTAGGTGGAAAAAAAGAAACAAAAACTAAAATAGCGCAACAGTTAAACAACATGGTGCGCTACTTTTGCGCCACCATGCATTTAGCTCGTTTTTATAATGCCTTAAAACTAGGGCTATACTGATGTATCGGCTAACACCGATATTGGCCGCCGGTGTTGGAGTATTGGCCACATCGGGCATCGGCAGGTTAGGAACCAGCCGGTACAGATGTTCAAAGAAGAACGTGCTGAACGAGGAAAAATGAAAAAAATACCATGTGAAAGGGGCTCGGTAACCGATTCTCAACGGCAATAAGAAAAGAATTAGGGCTATCGCAGTTCATCCAGCGATGTATTGATGTCATCTTCGATAGATAAGGTATGGTAGGCTTCATCACTGTCGCGAAGGTCACACCTTCCCCTCCAATTCCTCGAACCACAAGAGACAGATTATGCATTGCAGAAAAAACTGTATGTTCGCGCCCCGATCGAGGCAAGATATAGCGGAAACGAGGCAGAAACGTGATCCCGATGGCAGTGAGAGAAGACTGAATCAGACGACACCCCCACCCCCTGCCAGCATCAATGCACTGTCGATGTTTCTGATCGATACATGGGTGTATTCGAAATACACAGCGTGGAAGCAATAATACAATTGAACGTCCATTCATAATATGTCTATTTGATTTTTGAAAAATTTTATCGTATGCTTTTTCGCTGTTTCTCTACATGTCACGATATGCACCGGCCGATAGTTATAAGAAAACAATCGGCCATCGGACCACCGGCCAAATGTGGCCATCAGTACAACCCTACTTAAAACCTAATATGCGAATGTAAAGATTCAAATGTTGATATATTTTCCCAAGTTTGACTTCATTATCTCTTGCTTAATTCCAGGTTCACATAGGATTTTTCCACAAAAAGTGACATTTCAGTCAAAGCTGGAACGTTGTAAAAACCAAGAACTTTTGGGGGATAATCTAATAAAACATGAAATACTGCCTCAAGATGTATTTGATATAAGCATTCCAGGTTTGACTTTTCTATGTTGAACATTGATCTTTTTTATTTAAAAAAACGAAACAACGGTTGCGAAACCGGAAGCTCATGGAATTAATTATTGTTGCCTGACTTTACACTTTAAAATGGGCAATAAAACAGATTTCCAGCATGGAGATTTTACATTTGTCCGAGGGGTCATTTTGCCCATTCTGGGAAAACTTCAAATGGCATATCTGGAAGATCTAAGGACCTAGACTACTGGAATTTTGCTTCCAACAATATCTCATAACTCCCAGTAATTAATATATGTTAAATCCCAATCCCAGTTTGGATAGCAAACCCCTTTGGACCACTTAACATGTAATGACCCTCGTAAAATGCAACGGATTTCTGCAAAAAAGCATGCAGGAAAGTAATCGTTATTGTGCCTTTGCTTCACGTTAATCCTTATATTTTTATACAGGTCTGGAAATGGGGTTCCCTTCAAAAATGACTGCAAAAAGAGAGTCAGAGAAGGAGCCTGCAGGACAGAGATGCAGCATGGCCAGGACAGATATGTCAACTGCCAGCCTACTTCCTTCCCACGGGACGAAACAGAAGCAAGTTTAGAAAGAAAAAGGCTGACTCTTGAAAAAATAGTTGAAGGAGGAGGAGACAGGAACGACGATTCAACTGAGCTCTTAAAGGTCACATACGTATTGCAGAGGAGGGATATAAACAGTGGAATGCCTATAAAAGAAGTATTGAGTAAATGGTCAATATTCACCAAGCCGCATCATTTCTGCACCCATTGTGACTTGCTGATCGGCGACGGATCCTTAGCCATGTTCGAAAAGCAACTCTTGGACACGGGCATGAGAGTATATAAGTACTTTCAAGATTGCCCTGATAATGGAGATCTCTCTTTGCTCACTCAAATTGCTGCTGAGGCAAATGGAAGTCAAGAATTACTAAGCTGCTCATCTGTCATGCTCATTTCCAACAGGCTCAACGAAGATATATCTGTCATCATTTCAATTCTACCTGTAAGTTCGCTAGATTGAAATAATTAACTTATTTCGGTCTTTTCTATGCCTTAGGTAGGAATGAACCATTTTTCATTCTTAGAAAATCATCAGCGACAGAGACATGGAGGGTTCTCTTCCAGAATGGCCCCATGTGACCGTGAAAGGCACGCTTGTCTTACTAATGCTAGTTCAATATCAAATATATTATTTTCTAAAAATTGAAACAAAAGTATCTCCTTTTCCATCAGGTGATTCCATACTCCGAGGTAAATATACCCTTTACGCTGGAAGAAAACGCTTGTTCGAGGTCCAGAGCCTGATGCATTCCATTTTTTTCCTCCTGAGCTGTTACTATGTATTCAACATGGAACACCCAGAAAAAGCAGATGGTACTCTGGAATACATTCGAAGGTAAGGCTAAAGGTGAAAAGCATATGAAAACAGCCAGGATGATATCCTCTCTCATTTGTATGTCCTCTTCATAACTCATGATATAGAATCTTGGCGAATATTCAGCCAGAGCAACAGAAGACAAGGATGCCCAGCGACAACAAGAAAAAAAGATCTAGTCAACTGAATATCATCATGAACAATGTACAACGACATAAATGCGGGAATGATTGACTTTCGTCGGATGTGGTCTCTAGCATTTCGTCCCACGTTCCTGGTAATACTAACGTGATTTAATGCAGTGCATATGGGGTCATTCCATGTCAAATCGACCAGAGCGTGAGCCAGACCAACAGGGATTTGGACGAAAATCGACATACACGTAGAGGAATCAATTTGAAGAAACTAAGTTCAACTAATGTTTTCTCTCATTCATATCTGCATTTGAAGGTAACCTACTTTTGGCAATGTGACATTTTTTGGAGCCATATTGCATTTTAACACATCTTGAAAAACGTACTAGGCAGCATTCCCAGCATTGGGAAGGCAGGTAACATTGAAGTCAATCCGTTCTGAAGAATGGGTTTGCAAAATTTCAAGTGCTTTATCTTTTCTTTTTTTATTGGGCAATCTATGGTTTAACATGCAGACACACAAAAACAAAGACAAATGGTACAAATGACGACCTTTTGGAGTTTGACATTTCAAAATTTGACAATTCAAGAAATTAACATCTCAAAGGTTTAAATAAACAGGTAATTGAATGATACCATGATATGATAAGAACATATCATGGATAACATTACATAATAATCGGCATCCATTTTTCCCACAGTTGAAAATGATTTAAAGGCACAGTTAGAAGCGTAAACGTTGCATACTTTCCACCTTGAAATAACAACTTGATATTCTCTAGAAACACCTTAATCATTAGCTTCGTTTTATTTAGGGAGCAGCAGTATATATAGTATTTGGCGTAACATAGTGTCATATTCTAAATTCTATCTTCAGAGGGGCATCCAAACAGGATTGTCTTGCAGCTAAATGTTTTTGTGTCTCTTAATGAAGGAATTTTATCTCTAGTATGATTAATCATGTCATTCCAAAATGTCTGTACTTACTTACATTTAATAAACAGATGCATCATGGACTCAGTTTCTTCTTTGCATAAGGAGCACAGGGAATCATTGGAAATCATCATTTTCATTAGGACACTTTTTGTTGACAAGATTCTATTGATCAGTTTCATTTGGAACCAACTGATTCTCTTCTCCTTAATTTTCACTGGCATGGTCCAAATGAAACTCCATTCCTCTTCTGTTATACTTGTTCTTAATTCCTTGTTCCAATTTTTTAAAATATTTGTAGGTGTTTTCTTGATATTTCTAAGATGTTTCTCAATGGACTTCACCCCTTTCGAGAATTCCAAAATTTCCTTAATGAGTGTAGGTCTCCTAGGGAAGGTTTGATTACCATTTTCATTCATATTCCTCCGTCTTGAACCTTGTTTAATAGCTACTATTAAGCTGTTAAATTGGAGAAAATTACTGTGAATGTGAGGGTATCGATATGGGAATTCTTGAAAAGTATAGAATCGGGAACCTTCTTCATCGAAGAGATCTCTCACTGTTTTAACTCCAGCTTGGTACCATTTTTTTCCATAATACTGGCTGACCCTCCACGCGGAAGAGGGTGTTGCACCAAATCGGGCAGTCTGCTAATACTTCCACTTGTTTCATGACGGAACTAGAAAATCTAGCCCAGGCCTTCTTGTTATCAGACCAAAAATTATTCAGTGAGAGATTGAAGCAGGCATCCCATGCACCCCCTAGTTGCATCAAGTCTAGATCTGGCCCCAGAGGTATTTGCTGCTCAATTAATTTCACCCAAACCTCAGTTTTCAGTAGGGATTTCCTCCACCATGTCACTCTAATGCTATTAGGTCTCTCACATTCACCATTTCCATACCTCCTAATTTATATGGTAAATTAATCCTGCTCGAAGCCATTTGTGGTCTCTTCCCTTTCCACAGAAATTCTGAAAATAGTTGTTCCAGCTCTGCAATCCATGTCTCCTTAGGATTAGGCAAACAGTAAAGGACATGCATAAGTTTGAACCATGCCAGTGTTTTCAAAATAATTATTTTTCCTATAGGGGTTATCGATACATTCGAGCAATTCTTCAAAAGTACCCTTATTTCATAAAGCTTTTCGCTGAAATTTAATTTCGGCATTTGCGACAAATCCCGACAAAATTTTTATACCAAGTAAGGTGAAATGATATGTCCAGTCTAATGATTTCAACTCAGGAGGGGTTTGTTGTAAGTCAGTCTTACTTCTTATCCATATCGCCTTACTTTTTGAAAAGTTTATATTTAATCCCGACATTTCGTAAAAAGCATCAATAGCAGATGATATTTCCATAATACTATCTTTTTTTCCATTAATAATAAGAGTTGTGTCATCTGCGAATTGTTGTAGTTTAGGACAGATCAGTTCACCTAATTTCAAGGCGGAAATCCTTTAATTTTGTCAAATCATACATGCAAATATTTCTGCACATAGCAGAAATAGGTGAGGGGAGACGGGATCACCTTGTCTGCATCCTTTTTGTACTGAAAAAACGTTTGATATCTTTCCATTTTGGCAGACACATGCTACAGAGTTGGAATACAGAATTTTCACCCATTTTCTGATTGATTTTCCGAAATTGAAAGTCTCCAAGACTCGAAACAAAAACTGGTGCGAGATCGAATCAAAAGTCTTCTCGTAATCTAACAAAATAAGAAGTCCAGACATATCTAGTCTTTCTGTTTCCCACATGATATACACATTTCTCACATAGTCAAAAATGTCTCTGCCCTTTATAAATCCCTTCTGGTCTATGTGCACCAATTTTGATATCACTTTTTTAATTATGTTTGCTATTGTTGTAGCTCCAAGGTTGTATACTATGTTCAAGAATGTGATTGGCCTCCAGTATTTAATAAGTTCCTTGGGCTTTCCAGGCTTTGGGATTAAAGTGATAATGCCTTGCCTTTGGGTAATAGACGATTCTCCTTTCACATATACCTGATTCCAGTAGTTAGTAATGAATTGACGAAGTTCTTTCCAAAAGGCTCTAAAAAATTATACTGTAAACCTGTCACTTCCTGGACTTTTCTTTAATTGCATATTTGAGAGGGCGTTCCATAGTTCCTGTTCTACGAATTGACCTTCGAAGAGATTTTTTTCCTTTTGTTACTTGCGGGATTTTTTTAAAACTTTTTCAAGACCCTTTCCATTGTTTCAGACCCTTGTTTTTCATTCTTAGAATACAAGTCTTTGTTGAAGGAGACAATGTTTTCCAAATTTTTTTCGGGGCGCGTCTCCATTTCCCCTTCAATATTGAGTCCATATATGTGTCTACAAGTAGAAATCCTGTCCAAAAACTTGCAGAAGTATTTTGTAGGGGTCTCTCCCCAATACGCCCATCTACTTTTCGATCTCACTAGTATATTATTTACTTTTTTTTCTCTCATTCCCTGAAATTGTACTTTTTTCTGTTCCATTATCTCAAAAAGTTCACTTTCAAGGTTTCCATTTAACTCTTCCTCCAGTTCTGCAATTTCTCTCATAAATTCCTTTTCCTCCCGATCATATTTTTTTCTCTTCCTAGAGGAGTAATCATTTATTCTTCCTCTAATTTCCAGAAGCAGCATTTCTAACAGCATTTTCTCATCAATCATATACTCCATTAGTGGGAGTAACTCGAGATCGAGAGATTCCAGAAAATTGGGGGAATAAGGGGTGGCTACATATATTCTAGCGACTGTACGGATGGCACTGTGTATTGTCTCCTTATATTTTTCATCTCCCAATAAAGCATTATTAAATTTCCAAAATTTTTCTCTTTTTGCTAATGCTCCGATATTGAATTTCATTTTAATCGCAGTATGATAAGATCTGTAACCCGCCTCGATACTCACGTTGTTGACATATGCTCTCAAACTTGAGTTTATCAAGAAATAATCTTATCTTGCCTACTTCAAAGGGTTCCTTTCTCTCCATGTAAACCTTCTTTGACCTGGATGATACGTTCTCCATATGTCAAGTTCGAGACACTGCATATATTCCTTTTTTTCGTGCTTTTAGGTTATTAAGGGCTCGATAGTTTTCCGCATCCTCATTTGGGTTTAGAGGTAAATTCCAATCTCCGCTGAAGATTTTGTTTTCAACTTGATATTCCTTTACAATTTTCATGAGACCTTCATAGGAGCTTGGATTATCCTCATTTGGCCCGTATATATTTGCTAAAACACAGTGAAAACAATCATTGATTGACATCTGGAGAACGATTCCAATTCCTCTTTCTAGGGCATGGACATTCTAGACTTCATAATTAAAGCCAGGATTCCGTCTAGTCATTACAGCAACTCCCCTAATATTACTGCTGTAAGCCGAAAAATAGGAATCTCCTCCCCACTCAGCTTGTACACACCTTTCCATTCTTTGAGTAAAATGAGTATCCTGTAGGCAAAATATTTGAGCTGTTTTTTGGGTTTTTAGAAAATGGAACGTATCTCTTCGTTTCTTAACCTCTTGAAACCCTCTGCAATTCAAAGACAAAATTTCAATTGAGTCCATTAGTTTTTTTTTTTATTTGCTCTTCCGAAAGCATCCTGACAAACATCCTATCTCTTTCGAACACTTTCGAAATCTGCTTATTATTAAATATAGGTTCAGCTTCTAAACTGTCAACTCGCTTCACGCTTCAGCATGAACTCAAATTATTGTATAAAACAGTCTGCTGTTCAAGAAACTCTTTGTCTTAGTAGCAACATCAATATTATTTTCCATTCTTTAATGCAGCCAAATTAGGGAAGATAGATTCCTTCATGCTCAAATCAAGATGAAAAAAAGTTGTACTCTTCAAGGGATTGAGGGGAAATTCATATGGAGAAAGGATATGCGATGGGATGTGACTAAATTTAAGGGAATGTCACATTAAAAGCTGCATTTTATGGCCCCTTCTCTCATCAAATTAAATTGATGATGGACATGCCACCTAGGCACAGATGGGCACAGATCTGCCACTCCCATCAGTCTTTTTCTGGTAGGCCCTTATGAGAGTGACAGATGAACCTGCCTGACCTTAAATCTGACCAACCCACTATTGATGGATCATGGAAAGAGCATTGATATAAGGCAGGAGGAAGAGTCATGTCGGCACGACCGTAATTCATGTTTTCATGAAAATCAACGCATTTTGAGATGAAAGAGGGGAGGTCCCGATTGGGAAAGGCGATAGGCCTTTTTTTATAGTTGTCCCCCTCTTTGCCACAAGCAAAAATGTTTACATTCGTGGCTGTAGAGAGGGAGAGAATGGGATGGCAGGCCGGGCGTGGACTAAACATGGCGCCTATTTGAGCTGTCGTCACTACCTGATGCTTCGCATCTATATACCTTGGATCAGGGAGGTCCCCAGCATCCCTGCTTCTACTCGTCACCTTGTGATGATCGCGGGACCGTCCATCCTGAGAAGTGCGCGCCAGCGGTGTCGCCGCGGCCATCGAACGTCCGAGTCACGCTGGCCGAGTCGGACCCCGAAGATCGTCCCCGCGGAGGTCTCTCCTCGCACTTGAAAGTAAAAGGAAGCGCCTACGTGCAGTCTGCATGTAACGGTCGACGTGGGTGGTCGACGCGGTGTGCGCGCGCGTCTCGTCTCCGTTTTCGTGCGAGGGAGTTTCCCCCAACTTCTTCAGAGCATTTTTTCTGTTGCCAATGACGAAAGGCGAATTTCATGGGAGCGTTATAAATTAATGGGCTCTTCATTTACGACCTTCCAGTCGTCAGCTGGCTTTCAACCATGCTTCTCCAAAACGGTACTGGAGATGGATCTTAAATGTGCATAGCTCATGGGTAAATACTCTGCCGCAGAGACATGGTAAATATAACCCGACTGGACACGTCAATGGGAAACGCGCTGCAGCCAATTCCAATAAACGCATCGCTTTTCGGTTCATTGCGTCACGTTCCCAGGTGTGTTTTGATGTTCACCATTACAGTGGAGGCACTGTATTGGAAAAAAAGTGGAATACGATAGAAGGAATCGTTTAAGCAGTGTCAGCACATTGAAGACAGGCCAGGCCTTGACCTACCCTGCCTTCTTGGAGGGAGCATTTAGTTCTTTCAAATTTCATTAATGCTACATTTTCCATCTTTGAATAGTAGAATCCCAGTATTCATTTTCATTGCACTTTGAAATGTGAGCGTGCCATAGTCGTTTCCCCTGCAGTTAGGCCCAGGATCCAAAACGAAAAATTCGTCACGCCTAATGATAGACAGCTCTAAACGCACGCTGGAGCTATCGAGCCCGATTCATCAGTGTAAAACGCGAAACCTGACCCAGCCAACGGGCTTTCGGACCATCCGAATCCTGGAAACATCCTGGGAATGGATGCACTGCGCCTTGGCGAATGCGGTGCCTCATCCTCTCGTAACGGCCGACGGCCTTTTAAATGTCGGCGTGAGATCTTCAATTGCCTCGTTCGGTCTAGTTATATTTAACTCCGCTGTGTAGACGTTAGCGCCACCTCTCCAAAATTGTTTTGGTCGGCAAAATAATCATTCGTTTCTGGAACTCCCTTGACTTTTCCTTTCCGGATGCAGGAAATGCGAAGAAAAAATTTCCTGCCAACTTTCACGCTTACAATCATGGAAGGCTTGACGTGGTTTCCTCATTTCGCTCACAAGGTCCCTTTTCATACTTAACAATGCTCGACGAACCATTCGGAGCCTGGTGGAACCTCCCCTCCCGTCCCCGCTCGCCCGCGACCTCCAAGCGAAAGCAGCCTCCCACGAAGCTCCCTTCGAAGGCTCGACCGCTGTTCGACCGGAGCGCGGCGCGGAGGGGAGCGCCTGGCGCTCAGGGGTCTTCCCGCGGGGGAGGGTGCGCCTGACTTGGTGGAATGCGCGCCTGACTTGGGGGAGTGCCAAGATCGCCACCGGCCGAGACGCTCGCCTACCGCTCGACTTCGTTTCACGCAGGACCGCGGTGGATTTCAGCGCCGTCGTAGGTATCTTACGTTGGGTCTTAGGCGTAGAGTTCCTTCTTGGTCGTGGTTGCTCTCTATATAGTGGTTTTTTTTTCGAATTACTTTACCGTCTGCTCGTGCAAGGTCCATGTTCGGCTCTTTCTGATTTCTGTGGTGAGGATGGGGTGTAGCCGTAACTTGTATCACTTTTTGTTGCATTCTATGACATACTGATTCGTTACAGGAACTAGAGTATATGTTACGAACCGTTCTCTTTTGGCTTTTTCTCTAACCCTAAAACTACAGGTGCGGTTAATTTGACTGCTGCATTCAAAATAGAAGCAAACTATTATTCTGTAACATTTTATTTTTTTTATACAAATGTTGGAGCTGGCACGTTCAAGACTTTAACATTTTCAAAATGACAACATTAGACGAGAAAATTAAAAACTGCGGTGGCCTTTTGTTTGCAAACGAGCAAAGTGCTTCAAAAATCGGCTCGCAGTCATAATGACCGTCCCCGGTAGTTATGGCGCTAACCTCTGATGCCTGATGATGGCTGCTTAACCACATGACTGTGGATTTCAGCCGTCACGGCATATTTGGGAGAATCGGGAATATAAGGACAGCGATGGCAAATCTTTCCGTGCGACCGAGGCAAAGATGCCCCAGGGTGACCGGGGCTGGCCAAAAAATCGCCATACTCCCTCCATACTCTCACGAGTTGTGGGAAAAAGCAAGTAACTTTCGTTTCTCGCTTTTTTTTCCCCATTCAGATGCCTATCTCCCGACTACGGGCTCTCGTTGCGGCATACGCATCGGCCTCCTACCTTTTCCTCAGAATCTGATAAGATTCCGCCCGTCTCCAGGCGGCCTTTTGGGGAATATGGATCGCGTTAAGGTCACTGCGTCCTCCTTCGTCCTTTACAAACTTTACATAACGCAACCGGAAGGTGGATCGACGAAGATAGAATAGCAGTGCTTTTACAGCATCGTTACGAAGCGATTAAAGGATTAAAGGGATTAAAGGCTGGGGAGAATTGCCCTCCAGCTGCTCTGCCTCCTTCGCCAACCTGATTTGACCGAGCGAAAAGAGCGGGCGCGAGGTGGCAAGCAGGGCCAGCGGCTCTTTCGGGCGGGACTCGCGCGATGCCTTGAGGATCGCCTCGCTCGGCGTCCTTTGCCCGAGCTTCGAGTATGGCCTGGTCGATGGTCGGTTTCGCGTTTGTGGCAACTGCGACGAGAAGCAACAGCACTAGAATGTATCTGTCCGCATATCTCAATTCTTCTTTAGTGCCGTTCGTGTCGATCGTGTGATGCGAAGACGGTCGAATGAGAATCTCATCTATCACGTTGTTGTTGCGAAAGGGTAATGCAGCTTTCGGCAAAGGACGAGGTTTCGTCAGAAAAGAGACTAGATTCATCGCAAAAGACGATATTTGTCGCAAAAGACGACATTCGTCGCAAAAGACGATATTCGTCGCACAAAGCTTGAGCCTCATGTATTGGCAAAACCCAATATGATCTGAGTAATTCCTCCCTTTCGCTTTAGAGGCAACGCCCCACCTTCGCCCACTCTCCGCATACGCAGCCGCTTCTTTTCGCGTCACGCTCTTCGCCATCCATGGGACACTAGTAGGATTCTCATTTGAGGGGCACGCGGCGTGCAGCAGCTTGCATCGCGTGCTTCCTCAAGCCTTGACTTCCTCATGCCTTGACTTCCTCATGCCTTGACTTCCTCATGCCTTGACTTCCTCATGCCTTGACTTTCCCAGTGTTTGAGCGGCAACCCGTATGCAAGTCGACTGCTGCCAGAAATAGGAACTGCAGAAATGACAATAATAGAGTTAACAGGCTGCAGGTATGCATTCCGGTTGATTCCGAAACGCCGAAAACCGTCGAAATATCATCGAGCGTCACGAGCGACCCGAGAGACATCTGGCGCCCATCCAACGAGTCCCAAGACACTTTCTCTCGCGGGCAACCCAGGAGATTGCGCGATTAACCCCGATCGCGAAGAACGGTGCGACGTCCTCGCAGACTGCAGTTTCGGATTTAAATCCCCCGAAAAGCGTCTATAGGAGTTGGGCGCGAGAACCTAAAAATGTTCGCAGGATTTTCTCGGGTGCTCATAGAATCCCTTGAATGTCGTGTGAAGTCGTGTGAATGAATATTTGGTCCACCCGCGAATTCGTCGTGCCGCAGGAAGTGCCAGACCGCCTCGACTTCAAGGAGGAGACCGTCGACATGAGGATCGTGTCGTCCCGTCGATCTTCCGTGAGTTTTTGTCTCGTTCTTTTGTTTTTGTTTCTTTGTTTTCATTTCTTTTCTCTTTATTTTCATTTGTTTCTCTTTATTTTTCCTTTTTGTGCATTTTTTAATTTTTACTTCATTCTTATTTTTATTTATTCATTGTTATTGTTATCGGATCTCGGATGATCCTTCTCCAGTGAATAAAAAAATACCGATGAGAAAAAAAAACAGGAGAAGGAATATTTTTTTCCCCCTCCAAATTTCACGATTGAAAAATTTAAGTTCAACAGGAATTCCGAAGCAGCAAGCAGCAACTCCCCTCCGACCTTCCCGGAAGCCTCAAACCGAATCGAAAAACGAGGCCCAAAAATTGCTGCAAACCGGTTTTGAGGTTGAGTAGCCCTCCAAAAATTCAAAGAAAGTTCTTACCATCGTAAAATTCCAATATGTAATTAATATTTTATTTCAAACTTTTCACTGGCTCTATGTTCTGCCTCATCCATTTTTTAAATGTCCCTAGCCTATACATGTTTTTTCTCTATTTTATTGATATTTTTTCAGGGCCACGAATAGTGTAGAAACCAATGATGTCATACTATATAAATGAATAATAAACTTAATAATACTAATAATAAAAATAGACAATGACTAATAATAGACTAATAATAGAAAATGTAATAGACTTACCCATGTATGAGTAAAGTATTGAGTAAGTAAAGTAAAGTAAGCAAGTTGCATAAATTTAACAGAAAATAATTTACTGAAAGGAATCTCAAAGGCTGCAAAAAAAAGCGATCGAAAACCTCAGCGACTGTTTCGTCCCTCCTCAGACGACGGCGGACGACCGCCACACGGACGCGCTCTGGCAGTCGCTGAAGAGCGTGTTGGAGAAGATCCTGCGGAAGGACTGCTACGGGCTGAGCTCCGAGGAGCTGCAGCGCGCGGTGCGGGCCATGGTCCTCGGCAGGCAGGGGAGGAGGCTCTACGCCTGACTGAGGAGGGTGGTCGCGAGGCACCTCGAGGAGGAGGTGGGTCGGCCTTCTCCAGACTTCGTGGCGATTGTCCTTTTTCAGGCAAAATTTCTTCGGATCGCGTTCAATGGCACCGATCATTCTGGAAAAGGATCGTGGTGGCTCTTTGAACGCCGCGCGGTCGCATTCGTGCCTAGGGTTGTTCATTTGGCCGGATGGCAGCAGTTCACCCATTAGCCGGTTTTTTTTTTCATTTTTCTTTTTGGCTAAAAAGAAAAAATTACTTAAGAAATTTACCTTCTAGAAAAATTTACTGAGAGTTTGCAAAATTGGGGAAACTGGCATGGCGTCCACTAGGTTAAACAGCGCTTACGATTTCCAAAAAGGAATTTGCCCCGCACTCAGTGGCTGAGCGGCTTACTGACTGAGTGGCTTACAGGCTGAGTGACTTTGTGGGTTCCCTTAGTCTATGCCGCCTGTCCTCATAAATCATTTCTCGTCGTACGATCGTGCGATTCAGATGGCCCGAAAATCATTGACGCTGGTAAACCTTGTTAAAATGTACGTTTTAAAACTTGAATGCAGCCGGGTCCTCACTCAATCTGACATCTCGAAGCCGTCAGACCTTCGGCCGACTTCGGCCGACTTCGGCTGCCTGAGGAACGATTTCCAGCGAAACGAGCCCACTCGCTTAAATCCTGCCATTCGGCGAACTGGTTTGTCGCTCGACGAGATCTATCAACTGAAATAATTTCTGCGAAACGCTTTCCCCCCTCCAATGAAATCCTTTGCTCGTGAATGTGTTGGGAGCGAATCAAGATTTTTTTCGCATCTGGCACGGTTTTTCCATAGGGATTTTTCGTAACGCTTCCGCGTATTTCACATGATGCCTTCCGACTTTCAAAATTTAAATGCCCCCTCATGCTCATATTGATCTTGCATTTGGAAGGTTTTCGGGTCATAATGAAGGTGGAGCCCCGCTTCAGACTGCATGAATTAATTAATTATTTAGTTAATTATATCATATAATATATAGAAAGGTTGCTTATGAAAATGCGAGCAACGATAATCAAATTCGAATTTTTGTCGAAATGCAACGCATGAAAAAATATGAAAATTCGGTCGCCTTAAGGTCCGCGAGGATCTGCTGGAGTCGACCTCCTCCAGACGCTCGTCCTGGCCTGGACGGACCACAAGATCTCCCTGACGATCATGAGCGACATCCTGGGGTACCTGGACCGGGTCTACGTGCCGCAGAGCGGGGTGGAGGACGTCTACGGCCTGGGCCTGGCCCAGGCCCAGGCCTGGGCCGGGCTTCAGAGACCATGTCGGTTTTAGAGCCTGGATTATTATTTAATATAAATTATTTTAATTTATAATAATCGTAATATAAATATATTTATATTTATATTTATATTTATATTTATATTTATACTTATACTTATTTAAATAGGTTATTAAATACGGGGAGATCAAGGAGCAGCTGAAGGAAGCCCTGTCGGACATGGTGACGAGGGAGCGAAGGGGCGAGGCGGTCGACCGGTCGATGATCCGCGATATCACGACCATGCTCGCCATGCTCGGTGGCGACATCTACAGAAAAGTCTTCGAGGAGCCGTTCCTTCAGCAGGCGGTGGAGTTCTACCGAGTGAGATATTCTTCCTGCTTCGCCGTTCGATGCAGAGCAAAATCAGTAGTCTCTTTTTTATGGTCAGGTGAAGAGTCGGAATTTCCTGGTCGTCCGTCCGCGAGGAGGAGAGTCGGACGAACGAATAGAAGGAGGGAGCCTCGCACTACGCGAAATACGCGGTCATCCAGGAGGTGGAGGACGAATCCATGTGCCATCACATGGAGACCATTGTGGAGGTCTGTTTTGCAATCTCTCGATTTGGGTTTTGTGAGCTCCCTAGCGTAAGCGAGGTCTCGAATTTATTCCTTGGATAGATTTCATTGTGAGGATGTGGTACTGGTACGTCATCGGTCCCCCGTTGATATCGAATCTAAGGCCCGAATGCACCAACCTCGTTTAGGGAGTAAAAGGGGGCCTTCAAGCAAAATAGCTTTTTTTCATAAGAATCTACTTTAAGAAATTAACTAATTCAGGTTTTAAAATTCTGGGCCTAACATCGTCCATATGAACCAGGAGGAGAGCCAGATGCCTCCCCTCGAGAGCACCGCCTCCGACATCCAGCCGTACATTCGGCACGTGCGAGCCTGGACGGAGAGGGAGGCACGGAGAGCGTCTCGCTACGGCGTGGGGAAGCGCGCCCTCCGCCGCGCCATGACGGACGCCCTCATTCGGAGCAACATGGACGCCATCGTCGCAGTATGTCTGTCACCCATTGATGAAAAGCACTCCTTGGCGTGTTTTTCATCTTCCAAGGTGCAGTAAAACCCTGCCGTAGCGGGATAGTGTGCACTCAATTCATCTTATAATGCAATAATTTTATTAAAATCACTTGCTCAACGCCCATAATTACCTCAATTAAAACCGTAATTTTTTAAAAACCTATTTGACACGAAACGTCGTAGATTCTCATGCGACGGGATCGAGCGAAAAATCTGGGAAAGTGTTTTAATTTTTCTTGCATCTCATATCGAAAAGACCGGCGGAATTCCCACTAATTCCAGGGAGACATAATTTCTGCGGAATATTCTCAATTCTCAAATATTCTCAAAATGAGACTCGTGTGGATGTAATGGGGTTTTGCTGTACATTTTACAGTAGAAGAGGATACAGCACAGGCCTATCACCTTAGACTTTTCTTCATTGCTTTAAAGGGACAATGAAGACACGGACAGTTCAGTAGCGGTCATTCCATCATATATTGTCAAAAAACCAAATTTAAAGAACATAATTTTTTAAAAAGAATGCTTTAATGATATTTCAAATTAGATTTGAAATCATATGTATAATTGTATTTGAAATCGCATTTGAAATCATTTTTGAAATCATTTCAAGTAATATTTAAACTCGTGCTTCAAATAATATTTAAAAACTTGATGAACTGCATTTATTCTGCAACTGTTGCACCGATGAGTCTCAGCCATCCTCATTCCCCGCCCTGCAGCAGGAGAGCCCCGAAATCGCCCGCATGCTGCGTGACGGGAGCGCGGACGAGCTCCGCTCGAAGTACGACCTCCACTCGAGCGTGCCGGAAGGGAGCAACATCACGGCGAAGTGCGTCTCCGCGTACCTTCGTGAGCGGGGGAGGGCCCTCGCAGCGGAGGCGGAGGGGCCCGTCTCGCATCTCCAGGTCGGCAGGAAAAATTTTGGTCGAACATTAGAATCGGGTTACGTATGTGACATAAAGTACCGAAAATCATTCGTCATAACATACGTAAATACATTCGTTATAATTGTATATAACTTTCGGCGTTTCGGAACGTAACAATTATCTGCGCCTGGTCTCCGAACGGAAGAGGATCAGGATGGACCTCATCTGATTCAGTGTTGATATTTGGATATCACTTTGCAACCGTACTCATATTTTTCTCTCAGTAAAAATGGTAATTTCCAGAGAAATCAATATCAAGACCTGTTCATGCAATTTCCTTCGAAGGGTAATTTGGTAATTTGCAGAGCCTCCTGGACCTGAAGAAGCAGCTGGACGACCTCCTCCGCTCCTCCTTCGGCAGAGACCGCCTCGTGGAGGAGGCGATCACCCGCGAATTCCAGCAACACCTCGCCCTCGACCCGCGCTCCGCCGAACGGCTCTCCCTCTTCATCGATCACGCGATGAAGAGAGGAGAGGAAGGGGTGAGTCGAGGACGCCTTGCAGTTGTGATATTTCAGCAGTCCATATTAGTTTTTGCACAATTTTTAATTTTTAAAATTTCTTGAAAATTCATTTGCTCTATATTTTCAAATCCGTCGTGGGTCGATTTACCCATACCGCTTCCTTCATGAACTCAAAAATAAATGTCGGATATAAAACCGCTACCTCAGTCCAAATCTGGGAGGTCGAGTCAGTCGGAAAAGGGCTATAGTCCCAGCTCGCATTCAAATACGAACCTACCAAACTCGTTACTTCGGTGGTTTAGTGGTTTGAATGCCAGGTTCGTAATCTGCTCGTCTGACGGCGTTTGTAGATTCGGTCCTATGTAGTGCCCACCTCTGGTTAGAGATTCATAATTTCTTTAGGATCTCTGATGAACATCTGACGGCACTAATATTATGATGTAATTATTTATTTGCGTATATTTATTTATTTATTTTGCTTGGAATATGTATTATTGTTCAAGAAAAATTTACCTACAATTTGTATTCCAGCAGATTCTGAGAAAAAAAAAATTAGGCCCGTATCTCCCTCAGGTCGCAGTCCCAAGAATTCCTCTTTCGCGGACAAATTTTTCAAATTCATTCAGCTCGTTCACATTCAGTAACGGGAAGAAATATTGTCGGTTCAAAACTCGCACGAAAATGATGAGCGAAGCGACTCGAGTGATTCACGTTTTTCAGCATCACGTATCTTTAACATATTTATATATTGGTTATTTGTTATGATGAATATGTGGAATTCTCCAGATGACGGAACCGGAGAACGAGGCCGCGCACGACGAAGCCACGGCCCTGTTCCGGCTCCTGCCGGAGAAGGAAGCGTTCCAGCGGTGCTATGAGCGGCACCTCGCCAAGCGGCTGCTCCTCGAGTCGGTCTCGGACGGGATCGAGGGAAGCATGATCTCGAGGCTCAAGGTGTGTCTTTAACAGTTATTTTAACTATTTAGTTATTTTTATTTTAGTTATTTTATTGATTCGATGTTTTATCAAAATGTATCATTTACCTGTGACATTTAACTACCAATATTAATTTTTCTTACTCTTACATACAACCATTTCCCGGTATTGTAATATTGCAATATTGCTTCGCCCAGGCAATCATGCTCCACCCTGTATATTCGAGTCGACGCGGCTGAAAATTGCTTTATTTCTTTTATCAATCAGGCCGAATGCGGGAGTCAGTACACCGCGAAGCTTGAGGTGATGCTGAAGGACATCGCGGTCTCGAACGCGATCACGACTGAGATGAAGCACCGCTTCGCCTCGACCGGGGTGAGTGCATCCGACCTGCTCGCATGCGACCGGCTCACAGTGGAGGGTTGCTAGTGTTTCGTCCGTTGCAGGAGAATCAGCCGGGGTTGGACCTGACTGTGCGGGTGCTGACGGCGGGGATCTGGCCCGCGAGGCCTGTCGCCCCCGAGTGCGCCGTCCCCGTCGAGGCCCTCGCCGCCTTCGAGGCCTTCCGCAGGTGCGTCGAGAGAAACGACGGCTGTTCTTAATTTTCTTTTTTTTTGGCCGAATTTCATTAACCGATTTTTCCAAATCCGCTCCACCTTCGGTCTGTGCTTCTCCACTCAAAATTGCATTAAATCTCGCTTTAAGTTAAAAGCATCATACCTCCGAAGTCTCAAGTCTTCGAATCGAATCTGTGAAGTGTACGTGAAGTAACCAGGGTTTCGACAAAACGGGGTATGACCATCTTTTTTTCGGTCCCAGACAATAGCCCGGATTGCTGCTAAAATACAAGAACGTCGACATTTGCTAACTGGCTCTATTCATAAAATTAAGCATCTCAAAAATGGGTGTGCAACAATTTTAGAAATGCGACACCCATGATTTCCTTCTGAAATCATGGGTGTCGCATGTTGCTTTGTGAAATTATGGATGGAATGGAATTCATAAATCGATGTCAGAATGAATTTTATGATTTGTTCTTTACTCCTACATCACATTTTAAAAATTCATTTTCAAGTGAAAAAATAATTTTTTATGTACCTTTCACTATGCGATGAGTGCATCATCTAAAAAAAAACACTTCAAGCGCTTGTAAGTTATATAATACCAGGGGGCTCGTCTTTTTGCATATCATGTTTATGGTTTCATGGAGATTCATGGTTCATTATACCTCACCCATGGTGATGGTCCGCAAGTCAAAGTGTCTACGTCAACAAAGCAAAACAGGACAGTCGCGCAAAGGCCAAGTGCCAGGTCCCAGAGACTTGTTCAACACATTGGAGCGATTCGGGAGACGCAACATAACGTAACGTAACGTAACGTAACGTAACCAACGTCCCGATCGATACGATCGATCGTTACGTCAGTCGAAAGTGCAGCTGACTTCGCTGCAATGGCAGAAAATGATTGCGTTGTGATAGCAGAACAGATTTCATGTTGTCTTTGTGTGTTTCCTTGTGTATTCTTTGCATACAAGTAGTGAAATGTTCATAAATATGTAAATTATGTTTAAAAATTACCTCGCTGAAGTTATTTCAGTAGTCTAAAGCATGGGTGTATTCAACATATGTCAATTTTAAGGTGAAAGAAGTTTCAAAATTAAAAAGAGTTGCATTTCTGGAATTTTTAGACTGTCGTCTATAGTAGCTCGAAAACAGCAAAAAAAGAAGCTTCGTGTTAGGGCAGTAAAACGCTTATTATGGCTTAGGATCCTAAGTGTTGAGAGGCACTTTCCAAGTTATCCTTCGAAGAAAACCAGGCATTGTTCTTCGTTCCACTATTTGCAAGTTACTATATGAAAGTGATATGCTATATATTTTTTCATGATTTCCGTCCAGATTCTACCTGTCCCTGCATTCTGGACGAAAGCTCACCCTGAGGTTTGCCGATCCTAGCTGGGGCTGCACCCAGCTAGGATCGGCAAACCTCAAGGCCACGTTTTACGAGCCGAGACGTGAGGACGGTGAGGCCGGGGACAGAGGATCCAGCTTTGCCCGTCTCGACAGTCGACGCCCGTCTCCCGGTTCCGCTTTGTCGTCCGCTAGGCCCGACGGTGGATCTGTCGCGGCGTGGGGGGGCCAGATGGGGAGGGCCCAGCATCACGTGATCCAGGTGTCGACGTTCCAGATGTGCATCTTGATGCTCTTCAATGATCGATCTCGAATCTCTTATTCGGTATATCTCCACTTACCCCTCGCTTTTCCCATCACTCCTTTCATCTTTAGTGTCATCCTTCCTCGGCTTAAAAAAAATGATGCCGGCAACTCAAAATTTGCTATCTCAACCAGAAAAAAATTCAAACTGTATTGCATGAAATCTGTTGTTCCCATATTGAAAGCAAAGAGTTTAATCCAGGGCAATGCTTGCTAGGAGATAGCAACTGAGACACACATCCCAGAGAGAGACGTAATCCGAGCCCTCCAGTCCTGGCACTAGGGAAGGCAACGCAGAGGATACTGATCAAGAACCCAGAGACAGGAGACATCGAACCAAATGACGTTTTTGCCATCAATGAATCCTTCACCTCCAAGCTCTACCTAGGCTGCGAATATATGAACCACGAAGTCATGCAAGAGACCACCGGTATATGCAGGAATATTCCATAAGTTTAAAGTAAATCTCGAAGAAAGATAAGGGACTCAAAATACTATTGTCTGAATGTGAGTGCAAGTATCTGTGAATGTCCGGACATGCAAGTTCTCGAGAGTTAGGTATCCTCAGGCATCACAATATTCAGGCTACAAACTAGAAGTGTAAGGAAAGTTATTTTGACATTTTCATTTTAATTTTATTTTATCCTGAAGTTCCATGCTGCAACAAAGAAATTGCGAAGTTAATTTTATTTTCTCAACATTTTGAGTGGCAGAGAATGGACTGAATGCTTCTCAGATAAGAAGTTTAACCATCTGGGGATGGTACACAATTGCACATCTACATATAATGTATTTATTCCTTGAATATTCACAACTTCAAGATTGGAGTTTGGGTTGGTTTTGTTTCCCCGTTTGAAACAAATTTTCTGATGAATGCCTTTTTTTTCGTTTTGCACAGCACAACCCCCTCACGACGGAGGTTCCTGAGCAACTGAAAGGTCGCCTTCTTCCGAGTCCCGTCGTGCTGGAGAAGAGGATCAAGGGACTCATCGAACGGGAATATCTGGATCGAAGGAATGATGACAGGTCCGCTTCATCCAGGCTGCTTAATAAATTTTCCTCTTCTGCTTTATCTTCCTCAATGATGCTCGATCTCTGTGATTTTCACGGCGCTATATTTTCTGGTCTGCAGGGAATTGTACACGTACGTGGCCTGAATACGGGGATCCCGCTGGGACAGCTCCCCTTTTCTCCAAATCCGGTGCTTCAGCTGTGATTCGTTCCTCTCTCGGCAATATCTTGGAATGCTTAAAACGAACCGAAACCCCTACAAAAAGTGATATATCAATGCCTCATCTATATATGTGACTATAGTGTGAGATTGAGCTATTGGTCTGGGCAAGTTCGAAAGCATTTGCACTTCACTTTCGTGAGTATAGTTGACTTTCGTGAACAGAACTACCAGTTCTTCATTTCGATGTATTTTCTGGCATGCAAGAATACAGTATGTTTTTCTCATTATTTCCATATCTCCATCTTGATATTTGTTTCTTCATGACCCATTGCATCCCAAACTTTTAAACATATAAGTATCTAACATAGAACAAAATCCACACCAGACGATATGTCGATGCACTTATGGATAATCCATGCATCAGCGATTATCCATCTATCTGAGAAGCGAATACCAGAAACAAAATTAGCAAATGTGGAAGGAATTAACCCCCCCCCCCCCCAAGAACCCACGAAGTGAATGTAAACATTCTCTGAAATCAAAGGCTCCGTATATAAAAGAGAGTAACTGATTTCGTAGGCTATGGGGAGAGGAACATCACTCTCACAAGGACCAAGTCAAAAGATTGATACGCCCCATACGCGATTCAAATTGAATGCGTATAACCCTTCATGTTACAAGGCTCGGCGTTTCCTCCATTAACCTTTGGCTTTTCCTCGCTTGTTGTTGGGAGAGGTCTATTTCGCCCTTGTATATCCAGATGTAAAGCTGATATTGACCTCGGACTACGTTGCGTGTTGTCACTCTTAGAAACCGACAAAGAAGATCTATAGTTTCTATGGAGATTTGTAACACAGATTACCTCGAAGACAGCGAATGCCCGAGAGCAGTTGCCCACGGGAAGAGGTTTATCAGCGTCATTCCTTTCTTCATCAGCCCCCACCCCCGCCCCCCCCCCCACCCCACCCCCCCCCCCCATCAATACGGATTCCCTATTGGGAAAAATACACGACTAAAGTTTCCAACTAACTCCGGAGAATGTTTGTTTTCACCAAATAACAACAAAGGGATCCGTGAACAGTCTCAAGTTTAATATTGTCCTGTTCATGTCAAAAGCAAGCTAAACCCCGTTCTCATTTCGTCTTTGTTTCAGGAATATACATAACTTCTCACCTGAAAATAAAATTGTAAACATAATCTTCATATGGTTGAAATATCAATATGGTCGAAATAGATACTCGTATCATCATTGTGCAGAACGCAGTGCAGCATGCAAAATTTCCAGAAGATCCCCAATTGGATCAATGCTTGGCATCAACGGTGACTGCATTTCCTCTGGGGAGGAATTTGCAGCGAATGCGCGAACAAACTTGCTCGATTGCTTCGAATAGCGTGATGAGGGAGACCCCGAGGCAGACGCAGACGATTCCTCCGATGTTGGACAGGAGATCGAGCAGGGTCACCTTCTCCTTCTCCAGGAAGTGGGGCACCTGTCAAAACATTTTCACATTTATTCTTTCCTCATTTCCCATCGCAAGTAAAAGGCCTCTCCGAAATACAAACTCTCTTCGACGGAAAACTGAAGGACAAAAAGCTGAAACCAGCATTGATTTCATCGTGGATCTCCCGCTTGCAGGCGTCGGTCGGGTCGACGAAGACGTGATAATCTGTCACATTGCATCTCTTTGGGCAGTTGCAGGATTTCGTCCAGGTTGCATCGCCTCGATAGGCCCCCCTCAACATATCTAAGTGCTTGATCTCGGTGCGAAGGTCTTCGCACTTCGGTTTCGACAAATTCGCTTCCTTCGTCATGACGAATGGGTTCAGACATGGTAGGTCTTGGTTTGACTGTATGGTTTTTCAGAAGCAATTCTCCATGCACTGAAACACCCAATGCCTTGGACTCAGTTGTGTGAAAGTGACCATCTTTCCAGCGATGTTTGACATTCATTAAAATATATTTTCTCCTCATCTAGGCTCAACATTATTCGAATTTGCTACTTCAAACAATGATATTAATTGTTGAATCGCCTCTTCCGAATCAGGTTCAGCCTAACTTATTGAACTGGTTAGCCAGTTAATGTCCCAATATATAAAGCAGTAACAACTGATCATAACTTACGTGAAAGCAAAATAAAAAATTTAACATCCAAGCTTTGCCCTTTCGGCATTAAATGATATATCCTTTGCCAGTTCTTAGAACAATTCAATGATTTTCAATTTAATCTAAACTTTCACATTTTAAATTTGACATATGCCTGGTTTCATTTCTTGTTGAAAAGAGAATATCTCACAGACAGATGGAGCTACAAATTCAAAATGTGTCCTTTTCTCTGACCACTTCAAATTATCATCCATTTTTGCTGCTAAGGATAAAAAAATGCTGACTGAGGTAAGTAGTGGCAAAGGTCAGTATTGACAAAGCAATTTGAGCTTCTTTAGAAAAACCCAAAGAGTCTTTTGCCGATGATTGATAATTCGACTAATCCGTGTGTAACTGTATCCCTCTTCCTGGCTGCAAGGATCCTCCCATTCGCTCTGTTTCTGGATCACTTCAGGACGAATGAAAATATTGCTGACGGTGTTGTTGTATATGAACACCATCTCGGGGTGGAAAAGGTTCAATGTCGTGTATTCCTCTCTCGCATCGTGGACGTAGACTTCAATCTATACGAACAATGCACCTGAAACTAATATAATTATCGATGATGAAGATGAATGGTTTCAATAATTTGACATTCTCACCTGATACAGGGCACTGCTCAAGGCCCTGAAGTCGAAGACGAAAGAGTTGGAACGACAAGGCATCGGCCCCGTCGCTATCTCTTCCTCCAAGGAAAGCGTGAAGCACTTCCAATAAAATCCTCCCACTGGGTCGTTCTTAATTTGGCCGAAGAACACGCGCTCGCTCCAATGGCCCTTGTCTTCAAAGATGCAAAATATCCACATTCTACTTCGTTCAAAATTTGAGCTTTCATTTTGATGAATAGGTACGATGAAAAAATACGAACTTTTGGCATAAAGGAGAGACCTTCGATGATTTATTGACTGAATTTTTTTCATGACTAAACGTATTACTGTTTTTCTCGGGAAAGCTGAATTCCACCGCAGAATCAATGTGACCGACTCATGCAACATATCATTTTTTGAGGAGGCATTTTCCTCGAACCCGGAAAATAATTCCTCTACGGTCCCCTTTTTCTCGTCCGGTTAGCATTGGAAATCCTCCGCCCACCCTTAGAGAGCTGATACGTAGTTTCGCCATTGACGGTCGAGCGATTCTCATGGAGCGCCAAGCCGCCGGAAGCGCACAGGACCAGGTCAGGCAACCGAATGGTCGCCGCCTCGAACTTCTCGTAGAGCGTCGCCTTGTCCTTGAACGCCGAGGTCGAGGTCAAGAACTCGGCGCTCATGGTCGGCTTCGGGCAGATGGTGAACGCTGGCGCCCGGATCGCTTCGGTGTCCTTGATCGCATACAGCGTGCTCGTCGGGAAGGACAGGTACTCCTCGACCAGGAGTACCACTTGAAATGGTGGTAATCGTCAAGGAATAAGAAATAGTCCAAATATTTACTATCCATGACGGAAGTCGTCATGCCCTTTGCTTGCATAATTCCTGGAGAATTTTTTGATAAAAATTCTGGATTCCCACTTATCCCGTTCGTCATTATACAATCTTTCTATCGTTCTCATTCGATACCGATTGGATATCAATAAAGTATGGATTTTCGGTATTGTTCAGCATTCTAGATCTTCTTGACTTGAAAGGTGCACATTCACATATAGTTGCTTGCTCACCATAAATAACGATGTGAATATATCAAATTACCTTTGAAGTCATTGAACACGAGGCTTGGATTCGTCCAATTTGAGTAGCGGAAACCCGGACGGCTTCACTCACTCGGCTTTCGAGGTTTTTAATGAGACGCCATCCTTATTAGTTGCTTGTCATATTTACCGCGTTATACTTACCATGTTCCACTTATGCTACACTTGCCATGCATGCAGTTCATTTAATATATTCACCATTTCAAAATAGGTTAATAGTTAGCATGTCATGATAATTAAATGTTTACCATGCCACAATAAATTAATATTTGCCATGTCATAATCATATCATGTTTATATCATACTTGCAATGCCATACCCTGTCATACTTACCAAATCATACCAACCGCATCACACTCACCTGCCTGAGAGCCAAGGCTGCACATGCAACCATCACGATCGTCTTCGCGGTGCTCGAGGTCGCGCTCCTCCTCCTCCGAAGGAGGCCTGAAAAGGAAAAGACTCCTTCGTCGACTAGAGGCATCCTTTCGCATCAGCTGTGGATCTCTTTCCCTCTCGCCTTGCGGTTCCTTCGTTGGGAGGTCCTCGGCCATTTCGACTCCCATATCGATCTGAAAGCGGGCTGAAATTTTTTAAAGGAAATTCTGGTGTTTTGAGGGAATTTTTAAGCATGACAACCAATCTAATTTTTGTTCGTGGCTTCTTTACTGTTTTTTTTTTTAATGCTTTTCTCTTGACCGAGGGGCGTATTCTTCGACCCGAGTTTATTTATTTTTATTTTGGCCTTCGGTTCTTCTTTTCTCAGAGATTCTCCCAAGGAATAATTTCGATGCAGAAAACCGCAATCATTGATCTTGGATCCATCCCCTCGTGGAAAAGGTCTAATTTCGATTTTTTTTTTCTTCCAAGTCAACCGTCGATGTCAGATTTTAAATAATTAAATTGACTCACGTTGAGGATATGTTTTCCGAGTCCAATAGGGAAGGATGGAAAGATACCTGCTGGATGATGGACTTTGAAGATGACCAATATTTTCTTTAAGAAATATTTTTTTTAAATGGCAAACGTGACGGACTGGTGCAGGAAGCCTTGCTTCCTGTCGGGTTTCACTTTTCTCAAATTGAGAAACGTCCAGCGTCTAGCACAGCGATGCATTCCAATCACCTTGTCCATATTGGTTTCCTTTTTCCATTATTGACTTGGTAAACCTTCGCAGGGTGGGCCAAAAAAAAATTACCACATTTTTCGTTTACAGGTGTCATTTTTGCTAATGAAGTCAAGTGGCCTTAATCTTCTCCATCGTTGGGAATGCCTGCGCTTCAATAAAATACGCTTTTTATTACGAAAGTCAGTTCAGAAGTTTTTGCACAGTGACGATTTCATGGCGAGAGGCGAAAAATCTTTGCTATCATTTAAAAAATATATATATTTATCATTTTGCTGTTACAGCAAATTGAAAAGATGGAACTCCTTTTTTTTGGCCAACCTGTCTATATCTATCTTGGCATTTCTTGGAAGACAAGCCCCTGTATTCCCGTTATTTCAAAGCATTTTCTTTACTGCAACTTTCTGATAAATCATCTATGAAGAGAAGGGGGGAAGAACAGCTTCTTAAAACGAGGCAAATCCGCACCGAACCTCGAAGAGCGACCCGAAAACGCCGGGCCCACCCAGGAGGTCACGGGAAGGGAGGTCACGGGAAAGGAGGTCACGGGAAAGGAGGTCACGGGAAAGGAGGTCAGGGAAGGGAGGTCACGGGAGTCCTGCCTGTCTGAGGCGGTGGGCCTCTACAAAGCTTTTTCCTCCTTGGAGGCGGTGCCCGCTTATGCTTTAATTATTTCACGATCAATGCGTTCCTTGTAATACTCGTCGATATTCTTTTCAAGTGGAGAAGCGAATAAGTGGATAAAGAATAACTTATTTAGACTCATAGTACAATGGAGCAAGGCGATTCTATCAGGGAAGCTTATTGAATGTAGGGAAATGAAACTAATAATGCCGCGCCTCCTACCACTTCCAAGCACTCCAAGCAAATATTTCCCTACTCCTCCTCACCCCATTACGCCTTCAAGCACTCCAAGCAAATTTTTTTCTCTCCAGTCATATTCCACGTTTCCTGCGGATTCCTACTCGGGCTAGTCCCTTTGGATTTGGCCTAATCAGGCTCCACATTGCTTGTCCTAAGAACTCGAAATGATGAGGCAAACTGAGAGAACTTAGAACTTTTCTGCGAATTTTTGTCGCATTAGAAATGCTATTTTAAGCTTATTTTGCTATGCTGCAGTTTTCCACTGTTCCTAGCTCCAAGTGTTTTTAACTAGTATTCATTTCTTCTTTTTTTCAGATGTATGGATAATCGCTGATGCATGGATAATCCATCGATGCATCGAGATATCGTCGGGTTTGGCATATTTTGTTTTATGTTCAATAATTAAATTTTGGGATACGGTGGGTTATGAAGAAACAAATATCAAGATGGAGATATGAAAATCATGAGAAAAAGCATACTGTATTCTTGCATGCCAGAAAATACATCGAAATGGAGAACTGGTAGTTCCGTTCACGAAAGTCAACTACACTCACGAAAGTGAAGTGCAAAAGCTTTCGAACTTGCCCAGAACAATAGCTCAATCTTACACTATTGTCACACCAGTAGATTGATGTATCACTTTTTGTAGGGGTTTCGGTTCATTTTAAGCATAATTCCAAGAGATTGCCGAGAGAGGAACGAATCACAGCTGAAGCACCAGATTTGGAGAAAGGAGAACTCTCCCAGTGAGGTCGCCGTATTCACGCCACGTACTTATGCGATTCTCTGCAGACCACAAAATATAGGCGTGAAGCGTCGTGAAAGTCCCAGAGGTCATCGAGGAGGATGAAGCAGAAGAGGAAGAGGGGGATTTATTAAGCAGGATTAAGCGGACTTGTTATCATTTGTTCGATCCAGATATTCTCGTCCGATAAGCCCCTAGATCCTCTTCTCCAGAACGACGGGTCTCGGAAGAAGGCGACCTTTCAGTTGCTCAGGAACCTCCGTCGTGAGGGGGTTGTGCTGTGCAAAACCAAAAAAAGGCATTCATCAGAAAATTTGTTTCAAACGAGTAAACAAAATCCACCCAAACTCCAATCTTGATGTCAGGTTGTGAATATTCAAAGAATAAATAAATGATATTTAGATATGTAATTGTGTACCATCCCCAGATGGTTAAACCTGCGGTAAAATATCTCAGAAGCATTCAGTCCATTCCATGCCACTCAAGATGTTGAGAAAATAAAATTCTTTGTTGCAGCGTGGAACTTCAGGATGAAATCAAATTAAAATATAAATGCCATTATTAGTTTCCTCACACTTGTAGCGTAACTATTGTGATGTTTGAGGATGCCCAATTCTCGAAAACTTGCATATCCTGACATACACATGCACTGACGTTCAGTCAATAGCATTTTGAGCCCTATATCTTTTTTTCGAGATTTACTATGACCTCTCGGAATATGCCTGTGTGTACCGGCTGTCTCTTGCATGATTCGTGATGCATATTCGTAGCCTCGATTCCCTGCTCCCCGTCTTCATCCGCCTGGGAACGGGTCTCAATCCTCTTATGCACTGATTTCCCCTTCGTAGAGTGAATCTCCACTCTGGAAAACATATTTTACTATCTCTTCAAAGTCAAGACACGCGCTGCAAGATCTCACCAAAATGAAAACTGAGCAAGACCGGTAGAGCTTGGAGGTGAAGGAGTCGTTGATGGCAAAGACGTCGTTTGGCTCGATGTCTCGTGTCTTGGGGTTCTTGGTCAGTATCCTCTGCGTCGCTTTCCCCAGTGTCAGGGACTGGAGGGCTCGGATCAAGTCTCTCTCTGGGATGTGTGTCTCAGTTGCTATCTCCTGTCATGCATTGCCCCGGATTAAACTCTTTTGCTCTCAATATGGGAACAACAGATTTCATGTAATACAACTTGTTTTTTTTTTCTGGTTGAGATAGCAAATTTTGAATTGCCCGCATCATTTCTGTTTCATAGGCCGAGCAAGGATGACACTAAAGATGAAAGGAGCGATGGGAAAGGGAGGTGTAAGCGGAGACATACCGCATACGAGATTCGAGATCGATCATTGAAAAGCATCAAGATGCACATCTGGATCACGTTCCGCCGGGCCCCCCCCCCCCCCACCCCGCCCCCCCACGCCCCGACCGATCCACCGTCGGGCCTAGCGGACGACAAAACGGAACCGGAAGACGGGCGTCGACTGTCGAGACGGGCAAAGCTGGACCCTCCATCCCCGGCCTCACCGTCTTCGCGTCTCGGTCCGAAGAACGTGGCGTAGATATTTGTTGATCCTAGTTGGGGCTGGAGGGTCAGTCTTTGTCCGGAATGGTGTGACAGGTAGAATCTGGACAGAATTTACTTTCAAAGGTACATCACTTCGGGGTGGATGTGAAATCTTACAAGTAGTGAAATGAGGAACAATTATGGTGATTACTTTGAAAATACCACTTAAATAAGGCTCCTGGGTCTGGCCTTGACCTTTGCACAACTCAAATGCCTTATACATTTCTTGTTTTTTTTTTTACTTTGACCTTTGACTTAGGTACAGACCACCACCACTTGTGAGGTATAATGACCCAAAAATCTCTCTGAAATCATAATTATGGTAGGCAAAATAAGAATTTTGGTCTCATTTAATTAACAAGATATTAAAATTTGTTTTTTTTTTTAAGATTGTGCACTCACTACACAAATAAGGGCAGAGATCGCGAAAATTAATTATTTTTTCATCGATGTTGCAGGCGAAACACCATGAAATCCATTTTGACAACGATCAATGAATTACATTCGATATAATCCAACTGTTCACACCGCTTTCGAAATTTCCAAAGGAAATCGTGGGCTTCACTATTGGATACTTTTTCAGAAAAAAATAGTTGGAGCTAGTTAATATTGTGAATATAACCAGTTAACAAGATGTGATTTTCTTGTATTTTGCCACAGTTTGACATATTTACTCTCTGACACAGAAAGCGAGAAAGTTATCGCCAGGGGCACAGAAGGCCATTTTTTTGCATGTGGCCAAATTTCACACATTTCCAAACAGTGGGGTGGGGGGGGGGGCTGAAGACCCCCAAGTTTTGTTCTTGTCCCCCCTTTGGCGAAACCCCGGCTACTTCAATGCTTCTAATATGGTCTGGATGTGATTTAAAGTCCTCAGATATCGGCAGTATGATGCTCTCGACATATTTTCAGTACAAGCGATATGTAATATGCAGTAATTATGTGTTGTGAAGCATAGACCAAAAGTAGAGTGGAGTAGGAAAAATATGGGAATATGATCTTCAAAAAATAAAATAATTCGGGAACAGCCGGCGTCCCCTGGAGACCGTGACCCACCTACGGAAGCCCTGCAAGGCTGTGAGAGCCTCGACAGGGATGGCGCACTCGCGAGAGAATCGCGCTGTCAGCACCCCCCCAGTCAGGTCCAACCCCGGCCGATCGTCCTGCACGGAGGACCACACCATCCACGCTTGCAATCCCCCACAGAGCCACTGTGAACAGGTTCGACTGGGATGCACTCACCCCGGCGGCGGCGACGCGGTGCTTCAGCTCCTTCGCGATCGCTTTCGAGACCGCCATGTCCTTCAGCATCCCCTCCAGCTTCGCGGTGAACTGACTCCCGCATTCAGTCTAGTCGAGAAATACACTTCTCAGCTGTATATACAGTTTATATATTATACAGTTTATATATTATACAATATGTACAGTATACAGGGTCTTTCTAAATTAAGTCGCAATTTTGAACAATTATATTAAAATATCTGAAATGAATAGAGCTGTGAATATGAAATGAAGTGCATTCTATTGGAGGACAACGGAAGCTTTTTTCCCCCGTGGTTAGTTGTCCTATCTCCCACGTACAGCGCTGAAACCAGTCGTGAAGTCAAATGGCTGATTTACACAGGAAGCGAGCGCGCTGCATGCGTGTCATGATTCAATGAAACAAAGTCCGAAACTGTCGTGCAGCGTCGTTCTCGACGGCAATACGGAAAGCCGCCTCCTTCACGTAAGTCTATCAGAAAACGGGGAGCAAGGATTGTTGCAGCTGTTGCCACGGTCATCGCTGACATGCTCACTCGCGTGTGCGACATGCACAGATGGGACATTCTCCGCGTTACGCGGTGACACCACTTAGAAAATTTGTGGAAAATGTAATGGGGAAAATTTTTTCAGGTTTTTAGTAATAAAATGCGCTTCGTTTCATATTCGAAGCTCTATTCACTTCAGAGATACAATTCTTCAAAAAAAAATTAGAAAGACCCAGTACATATTGAAAAACACCGGAAGTACCTTGAGACGGGAGACCATGCTCCTCTCGACTTCCTCCGAGGCCGACTCGAGAAGCAACCGCTCGGCCAGGTGCTTCTCGTAGAACCGCTGGAACGCGTCCTTCTCCGGCAGGAACCGGAACAGGGCCATGGCCCCGTCCAGCACGTCCCCGATTTCCGGTTCAGTCATCTGGAGAGACAGATGAAACCTTTCCATGCATCCGGCAGAATTATTTATTTATTTATTCAATCAGCAGTCCAGGTCTTACGGGATATATCACCACAAAATTCAATTATGTCGTGACGCTCGAGGAAAATACTAATAGAAACACGTGTCGAAGCGATACTCACCACGGGCAAGAACCGCTCGAGCCGCACAGACCTCGCTTATCGTGCGAGTTCTGAATTCATAATATTGTCACTGAATATGAAGAACAAACATGAATTTGAAAGAAATGTTCCAGGAACCTGAGTGAAATGCGGCCTTACATTATTTGTTGCTTTTCTAGGAAGATGCCAGAAGACCATTTGGTATGTACAGGTGCAGTTTAGAAGCATTAATAATAAAATATAAATAATAAAATATAAATAATAAAATTTAAATAATATAATATAAATAATATAATATAAATAATATAATATAAATAATATAATATGAATAATATAATATGAATAATATAATATAAATAAAATGTAAAATATATAAAAGAAAAATCAACCGGATATGAACTCATTGTTCAAGTATCACACTCATGGATTGCACTGAAGGACTGATGCGAAGCGTCCTCGACTCACCCCTCGCGCTCCTCTCTTCATGGTATGATCGACGAAGAGGGAGAGCCTCTCGGCGGAGCGCGGATCGAGGCCGAGAAGGTGGTGGAAGTCACGGGCGATCGCCTGCTCGACGACGCGGTCGCCGCGGAAGGAGGAGTGGAGGATGCCGTCCAGCTGGTGCTTCAGGTCCAGGAGGCTCTGAGGAAAAGGGACATGTTCAAGGAGAATTTGGATGAACAGGTCTGGATACCGATTTCACTCCACTTACTATATTTCTCTTTTAAAAATTGTTTGAACAGGTCTGGATACTGAATCATCTGATTTTCTTCAGAGAAAATTATATGAACAGGTCTAGAAATTGATAGCCGCGTTTCATCACTGAATCAGGTCTGTCTTGGCCGTCTTTCGTTCGGAGACCAAAACAAAAAACCTGTTTCTTCATCTTGTGAAACTCATCGTGTCATATGCAGCAGAATTGGTTGAAACTGATAATATTGCGAGTATGGGGGAGCTCGTCGTAGTCGATGCATCTTCAGCATGCCTCTTCGTTTTCTTGAAATTCAGTCGATTGGAGCTGTTTGGATGCCTGGTTTAACCTGGAACTGCTCTAATATCCTGCTTTGTTATGTGTCCTAAGATACACAAAATTTGAATTTTGTTTTCTCTCATTTTTGTGAAAAACAACGGAACAGGAGGGACGTTGAACAATTTTTAATTTCACGAACGTTCAAGTCATTCTTCCCAGGAGCAATGTATTAAACTTGAACCATGGGATCTCTCCTTTCGCATCCAAAAAGAAGACAACCCAATAATCCTAACTTTAAGAAATTTTCGATAATATCATATTTAAAGCGATCCTCATACTAAACCAAATTTTCCCTGCCGACCTGGACGTGCGAGACGGGCCCCTCCGCCTCCGCAGCGAGGGCCCTCCCCCGCTCACGAAGGTACGCGGAGACGCACTTCGCCGTGATGTTGCTCCCTTCCGGCACGCTCGAGTGGAGGTCGTACCTCGAGCGGAGCTCCTCCGCGCTCCCGTCACGCAGCATGCGGGCGATCTCGGGGCTCTCCCGCTGCAAGGCAGGGAATGAGGGTGGCTTCGGTGCAACAGTTGCCTAATAATTGCATTTCATTAAATTTTAAATATATTTAAAAAACTATTATTCCTCGTAACATATGATGCAATAAACATTACTGAACTCTCAGTCTCCTTATTGTCCCTTTAAAGTAATGTAAAGAACGTCTAGGGCGATTGGGCACCGCCTGCTTATTTTAGGACATCACTGTTCGACGCAGCGTAAAACCCCATTAATTCTAAACGTGATGTCCTCAAGGATCTCACTCATGAACAACTCGGTTTTGCGCTCAGGATCCAACGCGCATTCGTGCGGAAAATCCTACCGTCAGTGAACTTAGACATGCCGAAGAACGAAAATGAAAGATTGAAATCCAAGAAACCAACCGCGTGCATTATTTTAACTATCAATTACTCAATGAGACGGAGCTTTAAAAATATTTTTTTAATTTTTTAAGATTTTCCATTTTGAGGAGAAATTCATATCGGCGGCAAGGAGTGTTATTCAACTTTGGGGAACAGACATACTGCTACGATGGCGTCCATGTTGTCCAAAATGAGGGCGTCCGTCATGGCGCGGCGGAGGGCGCGCTTCCCCACGCCGTAGCGCGAGGCTCTCCGTGCCTCCCTCTCCGTCCAGGCTCGCACGTGCCGAATGAACGGCTGGATGTCGGAGGCGGTGCTCTCGAGGGGAGGCTTCTGGTTCTCCTCCTGGTTCATATGGACGATGTTAGGGCCAGAATGTTAAAACCTGAATTAGGTAATTTCTTAAAGTAGATTCTTATGGGAAAAAATCGATTTTGCTTGAAGACCGCCTTTTACTCCCTAAATTAGGTTGGGGCGTTCGGGCCTCATATTCCATAACGATGGGGAACCGATGACGTATGGCTCAGTGCCACATCCTCACAATGAAATCTATCCAAGAAAATTAGGGATTAGCCCACACTATAAAATTCGAGAGATTGCCAAACAGACCTCCACAATTGTCGCCATGTGATCGCACCTGGACTCGTCCTCCGCCTCCTGGATGGCTCCCTCCTTCTCGACGTTCGTCCGACTCTCCTCGCGGACAGACGACCCCTCTTCCAGGAAATTCCGACTCTTCACCTGACCATAGAAAAAAAAATTGCTGATTTCGCTCTGCGTCGAACGGCGAAGCGGGAAGAAAGCCCCTCACTCGGTAGAACTCCACCGCCTGCTGAAGGAACGGGTCCTCGAATACCCTTTTGTAGATGTCGCCACCGAGCATGGCGAGCATGGTCGTGATATCGCGGATCATCGACCGGTCGACCGTCTCGCCCCTCCGCTCCTTCGCCACCATGTCTGACAGGGCTTCCTTCAGCTGCTCCTTGATCTCCCTGTATTTAATCACCTATTTAAATATATATATATGTCATAAATAGCAATAAATTATATTTAAAAACAATTAAATTAAAAAACAATTAAATTAAAAAAAAAAAACAATTATATTAAAAAAACAATTACATTAAAAAAAATTATATTAAAAAACAATTACATAAAAAAACAATTATATTAAAAAGCAACAAGCTAAAAAAATACTGACATGGTCTCTGAAGAGGACCAGGCCCAGGCCGTAGACATCCTCCACTCCGTGCTGCGGCACGTAGACCCGCTCCATGTACGAGAGGATGTCCCTCATGATCACCAGGGAGATCTTGTGGTCCGTCCAGGTCAGGGTGAGCGTCTGGAGGAAGTCGCTCGGCGGCGACTCCAGCAGATCCTCGCGGACCTGTCGGTGAGAGAATTTTCATTTTTTCAGCGATTCTACGAAAATTTTCGGAATCGCCGAACGTTGCCCGCATTTTCATGAGCGACCTTCCTTTGGTTTCTTAAACGGAATTCACTAATTAATTAATGCATGCGGCATCATTCAGCGGTGCCGGCTGCTGCTTGCTATGAAGGGCAAATAAGCCGATGGGTTAAAAGGATTAAAAGGGATTATACTCTTGTGTGAAAGCAGGATTAGTGGAAATCAGTCGTGACGGAACCTCGTTTCCTCTTTTTGGGATCTCGCCAGAGCCTCAAGTGGGTTCGATTCTTCATTATGATCCAATAATGCAAACCTTCCAAAAAAAATACAATTTAGAAAATTAGCAACGGTAACTAGCGCGCATTTTAATTTGCAAGCCCGAGGGGATCATGTAAATGACCAGGAAACATTATTAAAAATCCCTCTGGACAAACCGTTTCAAGCAAGAAAAAAACTCAGTTCGCTCCCAAGAACAAGAAAAATTTTCATTCGAAAATCGGTTGGCATTCGTCGGCCAAGAAAGGCCAGGTCCTTGGAGGGGGAAAAGCGTTTCGCAGAAATTCGATTTTGCCGACAGATCCGGTTTAGAGGAAAAAAACAGTTCGCCGAATGATAGTATTCAAGCGAGGGGGGCTCGTTTCGCAAGAAGTCGTTTCCCATTCACCCCCCGAAACTGGGAAAAGGTCGGATCTGATGGCTTCGAGATGTCACACTCGATTGAGCGAGGACCCGGCTGTATTCAAGTTTTAACAGTAAGTTTTAACTGTGAGTAAGTATTAACCATGAGTAAGTTTTAACCGTAAGTTTTAACCGTGAGTAAGTATTAACCGTGAGTAAGTTTTGACGGTGAGTAAGTTTTAACCGTGAGTAAGTATTAACCGTGAGTAAGTTTTAACCGTAAGTTTTAACCCTGAGTAAGTATTAACTGTGAGTAAGTATTAACCGTGAGTAAGTTTTAACCGTATGTTTTAACCGTGAGTAAGTATTAACTGTGAGTAAGTATTAACCGTGAGTAAGTTTTAACCGTAAGTTTTAACCGTAAGTATTAACCGTGAGTAAGTTTTAACCGTAAGTTTTAACCGTAAGTATTAACCGTGAGTAAGTTTTAACCGTAAGTTTTAACCGTGAGTAAGTATTAACCGTGAGTAAGTTTTGACGGTGAGTAAGTTTTAACCGTATGTTTTAACCGTGAGTAAGTATTAACCGTGAGTAAGTTTTAACCGTAAGTTTTAACCGTGAGTAAGTATTAACCATGAGTAAGTTTTGACCGTGAGTAAGTTTTAACCGTATGTTTTAACCGTGAGTAAGTATTAACTGTGAGTAAGTATTAACCGTGAGTACGTTTTACCAGCGTTAGTGAGTTTCGGTCATCTGGATTGCAAGATCGTGCGATGAGGAAAGAACCGCGACAGGCGGCTTCGACTGAAGGATGCCCCTCAGCCACTCAGCAACTAAGCTCCTCAGCCACTCAACAACTAAGCTCCTCAGCCACTCAACAACTAAGCCCCTCAGTCACTCAGCCACTGAGTGGGTGGTTGATTTCATTGCGGAACTCGGGAGCGAGGTTTAAAAATGTGGACGCCCTGCCAATTTTCTCAAATTGTCAGCCTCTCAAGTAAATTTATCTAGAAACTACGGAAATTGCGCCGAGGATAAAACATGTTTTCTACCTTTATCATGGACCAATGGGTCGCCAGCTGCCATCCGTTTCGAACTGAGTCAACTGAACGCGATGCCTTGAACCCGTCAGTATGAGTCGAAGCGAGAGGATTACATCCTTCAAGTTTTTTCTTCCTGTCACTCTGGCACGAATTTGTTAAACCCCCAACCCCAGAAAAGGCAGGTTCTTCGTATTCCTTTACCACGCTTTTCCTCACTTTTGTTCCTCACGGCGGGGAGTCCCAATTTACCCAATGCATAAAGGCCGACCCACCTCCTCCTCGAGGTGCCTCGCGACCACCCTCCTCAGCCCGGCGTAGAGCTTCCTCCCCTGCCTGTTGAGGACCATGACACGCACCGCGCGCTGCAGCTCCTCGGAGCTCAGCCCGTAGCAAATAAAATGATAAAATTGCGTGAAATCGAAAATTTCGGAAAAACTGTCTTGAATCCAATTAAGGACGGCGATTTAGCAATTAAAATGATATCGGAAAAAAAGCTTGTGTCTTAACTAGAGGAGAATTCATTGCAGAAAATGTTTCACAAATCTTTTTTTTTTACTCCTCGCTGAAGCCTCACCCGAGGGCCGAATTAAACTAAAACAACAGCAAATATATAAATACTAGTAAATAGCAGAACGAGAAGAAACTCACATGCGAGCGACGGGACGGCACGATCCTCATCTTCGAGGACTCCTCCTTGACGACGAGACGGTCTGGCACCTCCTGCAGCACGACAAAGTCGGGGGTGGGTCAAAAATTCATGCACAGATTTCTCAAAACATTCAATGATTTCCAAGAACCTGGATAGTCCTTTTCCCTGCTCTGTGAATATAATGAGCGCTTGTGTTACCGACCAGGGTGCTTGCCCCTCCCCCCAGCGCCCCTCATACCAGCGCCCCCCATACCAGCGCCCCCCATACCAGCGCCCCCCATACCAGCGCCCCCTTCCTTCGGGTTCTGAACGCCCGATTTGATCGAAATTTTCTCAAATTCACCGGAACACGTTGCGTGTTGTGAATGCATCGCTATTCTATCCTCGATCTTGTCGCTCCACCTTCCGGTTTCGTTACGCAGAGAGTGTAAAATACGNTCGCTCCACCTTCCGGTTTCGTTACGCAGAGAGTGTAAAATACGAAGGAGGACCCTGTGACCGTACCGCTATCCATATTTCCCAACAGGCCGCCTGGGGATGGGGACTCCTATCAGATTTTCAGGAACAGGTAGGAGGCCGATGCGTATGCCGCAAGGAGAGTCCCATGGTCGGGAGATAGGCATCTGGAGGGGGAAAAAAGCAAGGGACGAAAGTCACTCGCTTTTTCCCCCACCTCGTAAGAGTATGAAGGGTGAAGGAAGCTAATCTGTCCCCCCCCTGCCCCCCCTGTCCCCCTTGCCCCCCCTGGCCCCCCCCTGCCCCCCTCTCCCAGGGACCATTCTGATTTCGTCGCACAGAACGATACGTCATCGCTATCCTTAATTTTTACCAGCTATCCTGATTCTCCCAAACCTGCGGAGACAGGTAACGAAATGAACCGCCATGATCGAAGCAGCTACCAGTAAGCATCAGAGGTTAAGGAAAAAGCCAAAATCGTCGAAAGGACCGTTCTTAACATATACTCTGCTTCCTCTCACGAGTCGGTACCGCACGTAATGCAGCAAAGAGCGATCAAACGTAATAACATATAATTACATATAATAAATAATATATAAAAATCAGCATTACATCCCACTCTCACCGAGGGTACCTCAGTGTCGTCACCTAAGCACCGCTTCGATAACAACAAAGACCAAGCACGAGGAACTCCAACCCAAGATGAGACACATACGACGGCGCTGAAATCCACCGCGGTCCGTCGTGAAACGAAGCGAGCGTCCCGGCCGGCGTCGATCTTCGCACTCCACCGAGTCAGGCGCGCCCTCCCCACCGGGAAGGGAGCGCCAGACTCTCCCATCCGGAGCGCCCAATCCCCTCCGGGTCGAGCCTTCGAGGGGAGCACGGCGGGAGCCAGCTTGGAAGCCGCAGGCTCGCGGGGACGCGAGTGGAGGTCCCACCAGGCCCCGAACGGCTCGCCGAGCATCGTAATAAGCGTTGAGCGGAACCTTGTGAGAGGAAACAGGAAATCGCCTACTACGATGACAGAAGGTTGGCGGGATTGACTTTAGCTTTAAGAAAATTCGGAGAGGTGGCGCTGCTGTCCACACGGCAAACGCAACGAAGGTCTCACGCCGATCCGAAAAGGCCGTCGGCCGTTCCGAGAGGATGCGGCATGGCGTTCGCCGAGGCGCAGTGGAATCATTCCCAGGATGTTCCTAGGATGTTCCCAGGATGTTCGAGTCACATTTACCGTTTCTCCGCGGCGACGGGAATTTAGCGATGAGGCATGCACACTAGCGTCATGTCCGTTATCGTTTTGGAGAAGCGGAGCTAAGAGCCAGCTGACAACTGGAAGGTTGTCAATGAACAAGCACTTAAGTTTTTTTTTAAGCTTAAGCGCTTAACGTTCCGATGAACGTAACGTTATGAACGTTACGACCTCAGTGGTAAGGGATTGACGCTCGGAAGAAGAAGAAACAGCCGCACAGAACGGAGCCGCGCACACCGCGTCGACCACCCACGTCGACCGTCATATGCAGACTGCGCGTTGGCGCTTCCTTTTCCCTGGAAGCGCGAGGAGAGCCCTCCGCGGGGACGCTCTTCGGGGTCCGACCCGGCCCGCGGGGCTCGAGCGGTCAACGGCCGCGGGCGAACCCGCGGGTCCCGCCGCGGCGCGCGCCTCCAAGGGACGGATGGCCTCGCGACCATCGCAAGGCGACGAGTGGACTCGGGCATGCCGCGGGCTTCACCCGATTCCCGGATATGGAAAATTCGCCCTTCGACATAACTGTGCTTCCGATATCGTATTGCCTTTCTCCAGAAGCATTTCAATCGTGTACCGAGTCGAAATGAACATTTATTTGCTTGGAAAATCTCGCAAGATCCCATTGAATCTCACAGGATGCCGATAGGAACCTATAGGATCTCAAAGGTATCCCATGGGATTCTATTGGATCTCACGAGATTCTATTTGGATTCTGTAGGTTTTCCAACGATCCTTATAAAATTCTTGCAGATTTTTTGCAAGGTTGTTAAAAACCTGTCGGGTTCTCGTAAATCCCTGTACGTAAGGGTTCATATCTGTCGTGCACAATTTTCGCACCTATTTTCTCACAATCGCTGCAAGTTGCCCGATACGCTTTAGGAAAATGACGTCATTACGCTGATATCATATTACCTTCATCAACGAAATCCATAGCAACATTATGGGCAAATATTGCCAGTGAAACCCCGTCAATCTCCTGTCGACACCTCATGCGGTCCCCTTCTCGGGGACCATCTACGAGGTACACCTAGGTGCAACATCTCCCGCCGCGATGGAAAGCTACTCGAGCGCCGCGCGCGGTCCGGCCCGAAAGCGAAAAAAGCCTCTCGCCGCCCAGTCATCGCTGACGGGCGAAAAATCAAGGTCGAAGGAAGGAGGGGGAAATTCTTCGCGAAAGGAACATCCATCCGCGTCTTGTTTCCCTTCTCGTTTGTGAAGAGTTTTATTCACTAATTTTTTTTTTTTTTTTGAGTGGGGGAATCGTATGAGGTTTCGTGCAGTTTCTTCCGAATTCCCCGATTTCCTTACTCGAGTATGGGTTGCTATGGACTTGGAGTCCTTGGCCTTGAAGTCTTGCCTGTAAGGAAAGAGGCAGCCCTGAAGCCCATTCTAATTTTTAAGTGCATTTTTCGGCGCCTCGATAAGTCCTGTGAATCTCGTACACAGGATAATATAAATATAATATAATACATATTTAATTATAATCTAAAATAATTTAAAATGGAGACTCTCCAACTCGAAGTTGGAGAGTCTCCCTTTTAAAGACTCGAAGTTGGAGAGTCTCCATTTTCACTCCAACACGAAGTTCTCGTTTGGTTGTTCTACTTAACCGATTTCCCAAAAATAAATACATCGAGACCTGTCCGTCCGATACAATCCTGGACGCCTCGAAGCATATTGGGAGTGTCATTTCGTCCAACGCATTCTTGATTATGAAGCGAACCATTTTTTTTTTCAGATGCGAGGCGTCGCGGCGTGGATCGCGGTCGCGCTCACGTCCACGACCTGCCTGGGTCTCACGCCCAGGAACTGCCGGGAGGTGCGAGAAGTGGATGGACGCCCGGCCGACTGCAACGAGGACGAGGTGGTCATGTGGATGCAGATGGGCCAAGTCCCGTCTCCTCTTGTTTCTGTTCCTCCTCTGAAGTGAGGAGGAGGAGGGCTCCTCACTTCCTCATCCTTTCTGGCTTGTTAAAACTGTTAGCGTCTGTCCAGCGGAGGTCTGCGCGGTCCGGTACGTAACCCGTTTATGTCTCTAAGGTTCTTTGGATTTCTGATGAGGTGTTGGTCCGCAGCCGTTCTAAAACTTGATTACAGATATAGAGTCCAACCGGGGGCTAAAGTCATGACAACTGGGTGGGTCTCCGGAGCTCTTTTCATTTTGTCCCGGGTTCCTTATGCCACCTTCGATTTTGCGTATTATTTTGCTTAGAATTTCTGGATTCGAAGGTTGTTCCTCGTCCAAACGTCCTGTGACTGAACTCCTTACAATATTTTTCGTTGTCTCTGAAGAATGGGACAATCTCATATTGCTCATCAGAAAGCGGACACGAAAAATGGCATTCAGGGGCGCAACTATGCTAATTTTTGCATGCTGATCTAGCCGCAAACGTTGCTAATGCAATCAGAAGACCCGGAAGGAGATATATTCATTAGGCTGGGAAGTAGTGGAGGGGAAGGAGAGGAAGAGCAAGTAGGCTCCTCAAGCCCTCCCTAGGAAGCTTCGCTGCAGTTTCGGGCTTTTTGTCTCAGTTCAAACCCCGTCAACTTCTTCCGCTAATCGCTTGTCAGCAAGAACCTCTCATTTGAATGCTATCAGATTAAACTCACTAAAAGGCAGTGTAAGTTTCGAGAGCATCTCATATGCACCGCACAAATCTGGGGTGTTCGAGTTTCGTTTGTATGGAAATTATGAGTGCCCGATGACAATTCTTAATTGTTCAATTCTTAATGCGAGAAATTGCTGCTCCAAATTTCAAAAGTGCGTCTCATTTGAGGTTGCGAAAAAAACGTATTGTAGGAACTCATGAATGTTTGGCGGGTGAAAGTGAGTCATCGTCGATTCCATGGGAATTCCGGAAATAATGCAGGTCCAATCGCTAATAGTCAGCAGGCGTCTTACCCTCTTACCTTTACCTTACCCTCTTACCTTTACCTCTACCCCTTACCTTACCCTCTCGCCCTTCTCGTAACGATGTCCCGCCTTTGATCCGAAGGTGGTGGTCGCAAGCTGCGGGTTTGGAGGCTTCGGCTCGTCTGGGACCGGCTGCAACGGCACGGCCAGCATCGTCCGGTGCTGCCAGGTGGAGGAAGGGAACCTGACGTCCGGGGGATGTCAGGTGAAGACGACGTTCGCCGGTCTCGCCTCGTGCTACGAGGAGAAGCAGTTCGTGCAGGGCGCGTGAACATCCCTGTCTGGAGGGTGCAGCGGCGCGGCGCATTCGGTCGAGTGCTGCAGCTATCACCTCGACTGGAAGAGGATGTACCCGGAGGAGCCACTCACAAGTTGGTCCGTCGACGGATTCTTCCCCAGGTACTGCGCTGAGTTGGATCTTTGGATCCATTATAGGCAAAACTTTTTTAAAACGTTGTACAGCCCCAAACGTCGATGCAAACTTAAAACACATTACCGTATGACTATCATATTTTTACTGGTAAGTCCATCAGACCCAGAACGGTAGTTACAGAGCCCGATGGAAACTCAGATCCTTATATTTTTCCCCAGCTGTATGGATGGGAGGCTCCCGGTGGGCCGCTGCTCGTCGGCGGATCGATGCGCCGGGTGCACGGTCGAGTCTACCTACCAGTTCACCACTTTGGAGTGCGCCGTCGTGGCCGTAGTTTTGTGAGATACAGTGTTCGCTGTTACGAACTGGAAACAAATTGCGAATGGACTTCGAAGTACTTATTCGGGGGGAGGGGGGACTGGGGTATGGGAGATCCTCGATGTGTGTGCGGAACGTTTAAAAATGTTCACTTTTAAATTTAAATAAATTTAAAAAATATATAAATTTAGAAATAAATCATCTGTTACCCTTCATATCATTAAATGTTTTTTTTTTATTTTTTTTTTCATTAACATTTTTTATTAACAATGAAGAGCTTTTAAATCCAAGAAGATGAAACTTATGTTTAAATTGCAGACGTCTATTTTTTCCTTAATACATGATGATTGCGAATTTTTTTCTTGGAAAATGAGGGATGATAACTTATTTCCTCCTTTTCTTTCCCTCTCCTGCCCTTGGCACATGTTCAAGCAAGGCTCAAGATCGGTTCAAACAAGGTTCAAGAAAGGTTCAATCTCTGAGAACCCCAACACAGCCTGCTTCTCCTCAGACACTCTTACTAATCGTACCTTCCACTCTGCCTTGTGGTCCTCTCTCTCCCCCTCCCTTGCTTGGAGGGCCAGCCTAGTCGGCCCAGCCCAGTTGGCCCAGCTCAGTCGGCCCAGCTCAGACGGCCCAGCCCAGTCGGCCCAGCCCAGTCTGGATAGCCCATGGTTAGGGGCTGCCCGTGGATATTGCCCTGCTACGACGAAGCTCGGCAAGTTTCTGACTTGTTGCTACGGAGTAATGACTTCTTCGCGAGTTTTCGAGTTTTCGAATTTCTTACCCGATTCCTTCCACGACTTGTATTGACACGCATTCTTAATACTTCTCTGGCGCGTTGAGTAGATTGGCTGCGAGAGGAGAAATCGCATTTGGGGCTCATTACCGAAGCCTTCCGCAGAAGACA